AGATCCATCATTGTGTGAGTCCACAGTGCTCTCTGGATGTAGGTGGACTACAATTTCAGAACTCAAGATCAATGCCCACCAAACCCTTCCAGTATTTTCTGTTGGTTGTAGGAGTTCTGTGTGCCAGGTTTGGTTCAATTCCATCATTGGTGGAGTCCAGAATGCTCTTTGATTAGAGATTAACTATAAATCCCAGCAACTACAACACCCAAATGACAAAATCAATCCTCCCTCAACCCCACCAGTATTCAAATTTGGGCGTATTGGGTATTTGTGCCAGATTTGGTCCAGTGAATGAAAATACATTCTGCATATTTACATTACAATTCATACCAGTAGTAAAATTACAGTTACGAAGTAGCAACAAAAATAATTTTATGGTTGAGGGTCACCACAGCATGACAAACCATATTAAGGGGTCGCGACATTAGGAAGGTTGAGAAACGCTATCTCAGACAGTATATCTGATTTTTTTTAAAAAGGAAAAGAAAGAAGACAGGTCTTCTGTGTTCAGATATGTTGCAAAGTGTTAAAAAGAACGTGTGCAATGATTGATAAAAACGTTACAGCTAGTGCCCAGAATTGCCAGCAAAAAGCCAGTTAGGGCAATAGAAGTGGTTGTTGATATATTATCTTTTTGAGAAATATTACACCCACAATTATTACAGCGTCCAGCAACTTGTCCTATTAGGGACCCCATGGATTATATTGCATTAAGGATTGAGTTACTTTGCAGTGCTCCTGGCTGCATCTTTCATTAAAAACCGGCACGTGTGGCAATTTGTAGCTTTGCCTTTGCCAACCACACCTGTATGAAGAAAGCTATAGGTAGGTGTATCTGATTTTATATATAAATTATGTGTAGCCCTTAGGCTACTGTAGAACTACTGTAAAACGAAACAGCATGTTAAGTGCTTATTACTGACATATAACATGATGCTGTCTGGAGATATGTTTGTGCTGAAATAATTTGGAATAGAGTTTATGGATTAGTGCATGTGTATGTTTAATGTATCCTTGTCTAGATTCCTGTTTTTAATGTTTATCTAGTCATGTGATTCCATGCTTCTGTCAGTGGTATCCTTGGAAGTTTAAAATTGTTGCCAAGAAATTGGGCAATCCTCACTTCTGATGGAAGAATTGACACGGGTTCACAAGAATTATATCACCACATGATATTTGGAGCTTTTAAAGTTTGCTGCCTAGGGCAATGTCAGGAGTGTAGCTCCATAATTGTCATTTTGATAGGTTCAGGCCCCTTCTACACTGCCATATAATACAGATTATCAAATCAAATAATCCACATTATCTGCTTTGAACTGGGTTATATGAATCTACGCTGCCAGATAATCCAGCTCAAAGCAAATAACCTGGATTTTATATGGCAGTGTAGAAGGGGCTATAGATATCTTGCTGTATGTATTTATAGTATTCAATGTTGACAAAAGAAAGTTTGACACTGTAGTGCAGGCATGGGCAAATTTCGGCTCTCCAAGTGTTTTGGACTTCAACTCCTACAATTCCTAACAACCTAATTGCAGGAGTTTTGCCCATGCCTCTTAGAATATGAAAATAGCTCAGGCCCCATCTGCACTGCCATATAATGCATTTTGAAACAGCAGGAGCTCCCAGAGGCATAATGGATTAAACCCTTGTGCCAGCAGGACTGAAGACCAACAGGTCGGAGGTTCGAATCCGGGGAGAACGCAGACAAGCTCCCACTGTCAGCTCCAGCTCCCCATGCTGGGACATGAGAGAAGCCTCCCACAAGGATGGTAAAACATCGAAACATCCAGGCATCCCCTGGGCAACGTCCTTACAGATGGCCAATTTTCTCACACAAGAAGCGACTTGCGGTTTCTCAAGTCACTCCTGACATGGAAAAAACCCCCCTCAATTTCATTGTCATGTATCCCATTTGTGTATCTCATTCCAACTGCTTACCTGCTGATGATATGTAATAAATTGGACCTCGAAGTCAGGCAGTCCCAGAAGAGATTTAGTTTTGCAAAGAGGCACTGAAGGTTTTGGCCACTCACCAGGTGCTATCTGTCCTGGGCAGAAATTGTCTTTGTGTCTGGCTCAGGTAACCTCAGGGGCTCCTTCCACACAGCTGTATAAAATCCCCCATTATCTGCTTTGAACTGGGTTATGTGGCAGTGTGGACTGATATAACCCCGTTCAAATAAAATGTCGTGGATTATCTGCCTTGATATTCTGGGTTATATGGCTGTGTGGGCCCAAGATTAGACTACTTCAACATTGTTCATAGTGGCATCTTTGAAGGCTGCACAGAACATGAGAGTAATTTAAAACACATTACGTAATGTTCCATTATCTAGGTGGACTCCCAGAGGGGGCCTAGACAGAGGAGGATAGTCCATTTTATTGGGGGGGGGGATTGAAAGAGGACAATAATTTTCCCCATTTTTTCTGGTTATTCTTGCTTTCCACTTCCCATTTCATAAACGAGGATTGTTTCCAGTAGAGCAAATGGTTCTGAGGAATAACAGGAACACAGGGGGAAATGGTTTTCCTTGTTCAAACCCTGCTCCCTCCATAAAATGAACTATCCTTGTCTTTCTATTGCTCCCCTTTGGCCTCTGCCTGGATAATGGACAGTACCCACATTGCTGATATGTGAATTAGGCCAGGTGCTGGAAATACATATTATTGCTTAAAGAAGTAATACTACAGGAAAGGAGATTCCACCTGAACATTAGGAAGAACTTCCTGACTGTGAGAGCTGTTCAGCAGTGGAACTCTCTGCCCTGGAGTGTGATAGAGGCTCCTTTTTTGAAAGCTTTTAAGCAGAGGCTGGATGGCTATCTGTCAGGGGTACTTTAATGTGATTTTCCTGCTTCTTGGCAGGGGGTTGGACTGGATGGCCCATGAGGTCTCTTCCAACTTTATGATTCTAAGTTCACTAGCAACTCATCTGTTTCTAAGCACAATTATAATATTTACTTATTTCTCCCACTTTTCTGCCAAGAACAGGCAAGATGTTCCTAAGGCAATCACCAAGATCAAACTGACTCTTTATTTGAAGATACCATCTTAGGGTCCTTTCACACAGCCATATAATCCAGAAGACCTAGACAGGAAATGGCACAATGTCTGATTGAACTGGAATATGTGGCAGTGCAGACTCAAATAACCCCGTCTAAAGCAGGTATTGTGGGATTTTCTGCCTTGGTCTTCTGGGTTATATGGCTGTGTAGAAGGGCCCCTTGTTGATCAGCACTTGCTCTTTGCCCTATTTGTATAATATAACATAATTGCAGCTGAGATCCTTGAACTTTGCTTTTACGTGTTGATCAATCAGAATTACCATGTCAGGCCGCCTTGTTTTGTGAGATGTTTGAACTGTTGGATCTGGGGTTTGTTTTTTGTTTTTTTACCTTAACCTTTTGTAGAACATTGCATGGTCTTCAATGTGAAGCTGTCCACCTGAAACATGTGTGCCTTTCTGGCACTTTGTCATCTGCGGAAAATGCCTTTTCAATGGCTGGATGACCATGCAGTTTGGCTTCAGAGTTCATGGCAAATATCTTTTTGGCATTTTTAAGGCTACAGTTCTAATAGATTCTAGGAATGTGTCAGGAAACTGTTCCACAAATTCAGTCTATGACATTATGTAACATGATTTTTGTTCCTGTGTTATAAATGTTATTTCCTAATTGGGTCTATCATAAAAACAAGGGAAAAGTTTATTAAACTGCAAAAGCTTTGTTTTCGCGGGATATCCTGCAGCATATTTTGCTATAGTTTTGCAGTGAATGTCTCATAGAATTTCAACCAATTCAACATAGTTTGCGGCAGTGACAAAAACATAGTTTCAGGAGTATAACAACTGCTTTCAAAGTAAGTCCTGCACAATTAAAGAGGAAATGATACTTTCAAACTAGGAACAGAAAGTTTTTCAAATTTTGTTACATAGGGTAATTGAAGATTTGATCTGTTTTGCAACTGTAGAAAACATAATGACTTATTATCAGGGCACTGACAGTCCTCTAGTTGAGATGCTGAGATCAAAGGAAGTGTACAACATCCTTTGATTGAGACACTGAGATAAAAAGTAATATACATAGTCCTCTGATTCAGATGCTGGAATAAAAGGCAATATGCCAAATGTGTGTATGTGTGTGTATGTACCTTCAAGTCACCTGTTGACTTATGGTAACCCCATGAATTTCATAAGTTTTTCTTAAGCAAGGTGCTTTTGTCACTTCTCCTGAAATATGGCCTACAGCACCTGGCTTTCCTTGGTGATCTTCTATCCAAGTAATTTACTAACCAAAGTTGACCCTGCTTAGCTTCCAAGATCAGAGAGGGTTTGGTTCCTTTAGAACATTTAGGCCCTATACAAAGAATATAATGCATATAAAAATAAAAGAAGGCCAACATATGATTCCACATTATTCTGTCTTTCTCCATGATTTTCTGTGACTCCAGTTTTTCCTCTATTCCTTGTCACTGCCATGTATAGCTATGGGTTCCTCTCACTGCTGTATGATGATGGTTAGTTACTGCCTAAAGTAGCCTAGAAGAACAGATAATGTGATTTGGTTTAAGAATGTTTTCTGGGAAAATCTCAGAATTTTTTTCCAATGTACTAGTGTTGAGGATGGTGATATGGTTTTTCCAGCAAAAGTAATGCTCTAAATAAGGTTTTATGACTCAGTGAGCTGTGGCTATAAAATTCTGGAAGAGACCAAATTTCCTTCTGATAGTGTTGCTTTAAGGTAAGTCAGAAATGATGAGAGCACACAAGTTTTTTCTCTCTACACATTTGTCTTTGACCCAACTTTCCACTGGATTGTGTCCTCCAAAGACTTCTCTGAAGTTAATTCAATTTCTCAGTTCTGGAAAATTATGACAAAAGTTACCTTCAAGAGTGAGGATGAGCGTGAGGCTATACAAGAACCCCTGCCATTGATAAAATGTTACTATGAGCTTCTCTGTTGGAAATTTCAACATTTTTCTTTTCTTTCATTCAGGTGTGGTCTTTGCCCCTTATGGCCCAACATGGAGAAAACAGAGGAGGTTCTCCCATTCAACTCTGCGACACTTTGGCTTAGGAAAGCATAGCCTGGAGCCAAAAATCATTGAAGAATCCAAGTATGTGAAGGGAGAGATCCTGAAACATAGAGAAGAGCCATTCAATCCCTTTCCAATCATCGGCAATGCGGTATCCAACATCATTTGCTCAATGGCCTTTGGCCGGCGCTTTGACTACGATGATATAGGGTTTAAGACCTTGTTGAGGCTCATTTCACGTGGTCTGGAGATTACCTTGAACAACCAAATTCTCCTGGTCAACATCTGCCCTTGGCTGTACTACCTCCCGTTTGGCTCTTTCCGAGAACTCAGGCAAATTGAGCTGGATGTCACATCTTTCCTGAAGAAAATAATAATGCAGCACAGGGAAAGCCTGGATGCCCAGAATCCCCGAGACTTCACTGATATGTATCTCCTTCATGTGGATGAGGAAAGAAAGACCAACAGTGAAAGCAGTTTTAACGAAGATTATCTGTTCTTTATTATTGCGGATCTTTTCATTGCAGGCACAGACACAACATCTAACACGCTGCTCTGGAGTTTGCTTTACTTGTCACTTCACCCACAAGAACAAAGTAAAGCCATGCTTCTTAGGGTTCCTGCTTTGGGATGGGGAGTGGGGGAGGGCACAGGGCAAATGATTATGATTTCTTTTCCATAGCTCCATATTTGTGCCTACTGGAAATATTTTTTCTATCTGTCTTACAAACTTGCTAGCAACTGGCAGTCAAAAGTTCAGACACTGGTTCCAGTCCAGGGGCTAGCACTTGGAATACTACTGTAGTAAAGGGTGCCATTTCTTTATCAGTATTTCCCCTGTGGCCAGATAGTGTCAAAGTTGCACTCAAGGCAAGGTTGCTCTTAAAATGTTATCCTTTCGAATTGGAGACAAAGTTTAGGAATGTTGTGTTTTTGGGCCATACCATCCTAGCTCTCTAGTTGCCTGCAGAATTATGTGGGTTGTGGTGCAAAAAAGTAACTTCTCTGGGCAGGAGAAAGAATTCCACAGGGTTAGTAACAGAAGTCAGCATTATTGGTTACTGGCATGACCCAACCTTAGCTGTGAGTTTGGAGACAGTTGTTGTGGTTCCTTACTTTTCAATTGCATATCTCCTTGCTGTTGTTGCCTACTTGTCCCTCTTGGACAGGTGAGGAAGGGAATGGAACAGAATTCCTCAGCTCACCTTTTCCCATCATTTAGATGAAGCAGGCCAGTGGTTCTCAGCCTGTGGGTACCCAGGTGTTTTGGCCTACAACTCCCAGAAATCCCACCCAGTTTACCAACTGTTAGGATTTCTGGGAGTTGAAGGCCAAAACACCTGGGGATCCACAGGTTGAGAACCACTGGAGTAGGCTATCAATAGGATAGTGCTTCAGATTTCAGCTGAAATTTTAAAGGTACTCTCCGAGGTGCTGAAGCCTCTTGTTAGGTAGAGTCCATCCCTTTGGAGAATTCATTTAAAGGACAGATTGAAACCCAAAACAGATCATCTGCCCCATTTACATTGGAGCCACCACTCTCCTTTGGTGCAAAACCTATGGCATAAGAACTGCTCTCTGCTGATTCTAATTTCATACAGGTGTTTCATTCTTCACTTCTGCTAGCACCCATATCTATATGGGTATCTTTTGCGAAGAAAACAGAGAGCCTTATCTTCACCCTCTATCAGAAATCATTCAACAGATTGCTCTTTTATGAGGAATAGAGAATAGCTGTTGCGTGTTTGTGCTTCTCTGTGGAGATCTAGAGTCCCAAGTAGTGCTGACAGGTGTCTCTTATCATAAAGGATGTCCTTGGCACTCAAGTAGATAGCTAATTGTGTTTTGGCAACAAGAAAGCAAATATTATTGCTTTTTAAAAAGCAGCTGTAATGCTATTTTATTAACATCTGCTCAGAAGCCCAAATAACATATTTTTTAAGTTTGCACCTTTTCCACAAAAAATATCACTTATGAGTCTTGCATCGATGCTGTGGTTGAACTGCTAATCATGAGACCTGTTCCCATCTTCTCCAAGTCTCTTCAAAGGAAAGCACTTTCAGAAAGCCACAACAAATTAAAGCAATTGAAAAACTTGGCAACAAGAAGAGGGAGGGAAAAATCTGGATTTCCTTTCAGTGCAAACACTTAAGCAAGCTCTGTTTTTGATGATAAACTCTGTGGCCTTGGGTGACTCTGAGCTCAAATTGACCCAAATGAATCACAGAAAGAGTGATATCAGTATTTTTGTGAACACTGATCTATGTGTGCAATTTTTCTCCAATGTAAGCAGGCAGCCAGCAGTTCTGTTCTCTGTAGCAGAGTAACCCAGCAGTTCAGCATAGCAACAATAGATTGCTAGTGATTTTGTTTTAGATTGAATCAACATTAATTTTAGTATTTATTTATTTATTGTGTCAGAAGCTAATTGAGAATATAGTTATAATGTTTAGAAAAAACCACAAACAAAATTTAAAACTTGGGATTATACTAAATTTCCTCTGACCAGAAAATGGCCACTTCGAGTACATCTGGTGTCTCTGTAAGAAGGTCCTCCATTGTACATGTGGCAGGGCTCAAGTTGCATTTGTAGTAAGTGGTCTGTGGTTTGCTCTTTTCCACACTCGCATGTAATGGACTCCACTTTGTAGCCCCATTTCTTAAGGTTAGCTTTGCATCTCGTGGTGCCAGAGCACAGTCTGTTCAGCACCTTCCAAGTCGCCCAGTCTTGTGTGGCCAGGAAGGACTTTCTCATCTGATCTCTGCCACTGATTAAGGTTCCAGGTTTTAACCTGCCACTTTTGGACTCTCGTTTGCTGAAGTGTTCCTGCGAGTATTTCTGTATATCTTAGGAAGCTATTTCTTGATTTAAGGCATTGACTTGCTGGCTGATATCTGAACAGAGGATGAGCCAGAGATGTCTATGCCTTGGTCCTTTCATTACAGGCTGCTACTTCCTGACAGATGTAATAGGCAGTAAGAACACCTAATCCTTCAGAGAGCTTCTGTTCTGTTCTTTTAAAATCTGAAAGGATTTTAGTATAGAGAATGAAGAACACAGCAGTTCCTGGGCTGGAATGTGCAAAGCAGCCTAAGGGGATAAAAACCTTGTAAAATTACAACTCTCGGCATGCTGTAACTTTGAATTATGGCAGTTCAAGTGGTGTGAAACTTCATTAATTATACAGTGTAGATGCCCCCTTATTTACTCTATGTCTCCTCCCACCGGTTTCTTTCACTCTGTACCTGTATAGCCAGTTTTTGGCTTCAAAAAAGCACGTGGTGGCCATGATCCATTTGAGTATTGGCATATGTTTGATACTAGATTGACTCAACCATTTTCCTTGACGCTTTTTTCTCTCTTTCTGAAAACTAGTTTGTCTCATTTATGAGCCAATCCATTGAAGATTCCCAGTGGATTATTAACCAAGCTTCTACACTCTCTTGAAACTTCTGCTGGAAGTTGCAGTTCACAAAATTTATTCCTCTGTATTGATCATATTCCTTGTTGGTGTACAACTCTATATTGTACAAAATCAAGTTTTTGCTGCTAAAAGATTTAATTGGATATAAATGGTTTAAATTTGTACCACTTATTCTTGAACAAGACCTGAGTTTTTCATTGTAATACTTGCTTTAGAAGCAAAGAGCTAGGCTCCCTTGTGCTTAGTATGCTTTTTTATTTTAAGATACAAGTACAAGTACCTGAGGGCAGGGAACTGTCAAATTAATGACTTGTAAGCCACTCTTTGAGCCTTTTTTGTGCTGAAGGGCAGGATAGAAAGGCTCTGAATAGATAAGCAGCACAGCTCAGTTTAAAAAGTAGATGCATTACTTCTTTAACAGTTTGGTGCCAGAAGCAGTTATACTAGAGGTGTTCATTAAAGATTTCCCCTGACCCACTTCTATTTATCACAGGATGCTGAAACTGCACATGTGTAATGATATATGTCTCTATAGATTATGTGCAAATTTATAACTCAGAACTGATAACAGTCTTGATTTTACAGGCGCTGAAGTGATTTGAGGTATGATAACGGACCCAGTGGAATACAGGGCAGTCATCAAGTTCAAGATGAAAGAGGTTTATGGTGATGATTCCCCATCATATGATGCAGTCAAGAACTGGCATCGTCAATTCAAATGTGGTCGAACTTCGGTGGAAACAGCTCCTATTCCAGGGCGACCCCACTCTGCTATTGAGGAACACACCATCCAGCACGTGGAGGTTGCCATTTTGGAAAATTGCCATATAACCATACATCACCTAACCCAAAATGTCAAGATTAGTGTAGGGTCCATGAAAAAAAAATCCTCCAAGACCATTTTCACATACATAAGGTATCCACTGGCTGTGTCCCCCAGCTGCTCACACTTTTCCAGAAACAGGAATTAGTTGAATGCTCTCAGGCTCTATTGACAATGTGCCATGGAAACCAGGAGGACTTTTTCAACCGACTGATCACACAGGATGAAAGCTGGGTCCATCACTATGATCCTGAGACTAAACTCCAGTTTAGGAAGCATCATAACTCACTGCCTCCAAAGAAGGTATATTCCCAACTCTCAAAAGGCAAGGTCATTCTCACAGTATTTTGGGATCAGCACTGAGTAGCATTGATGGATTTCCTAGCAAAGGGTACCATGATCACTGGGGCATACTATGCTTCACTGCTGTGGAAATGGAGGGAGGCCATGAAAACCAAGAGACGTGGCATGCTCACCAAAGGTGTCCACCATCTGCAAGATAATACACCAGTTCACAACTCACATGTTGCCCAAATGGAAGCATGCTCCTGTGGCTTTGAAATTCTACCGCATCCCCCTTATTCACCAGACCTCGCACCATTGGACTTCTACCTCTTTCCAACAATGAAGTTATTTTTGAAGGGCAAGCATTTTTCAGATGATGAAACTCTTATTTCTGAAGTCACAACATGGCTTTTGGAGCAACCTGTTGACTTCAACAAATGTGGTGTTTACAGTTGCTTAAAAAGATGGGAGAAGTGTGTGTCCCTAGGTGGCACCTATATAGAGAAGGACTCATAACTGTGCCAAGTTTCATTATTCTCCATCCACAGGAAGTGGGTCAGGGGAAATCTTTAATGAACACCCCTCATAACATGAAAAACATAGGGTAGTTTTCTACATCACTCCCAAATGAAGAGCAGTTTAACGTATTTCAAATTACCTTTTTATTCAAAATCAATGCTTTGTTATGAAACAACCAGACCAAATAAGTCTTACAAAAGTTAAAGACCATTTGAAGGCTTTATCCAAAATGCCATCAAGTGGGGGTTTTCACCAAACTCCACTTGATGGCCAAACTTATAGATCAATGTATTCTTTGTTTGCATAGTGAGACGAGTAGGTAAAGGCAGGCTTATTTCCCAACTTTCTCTTTTGCTGTGCATATATGTTCTGTGATGGATTCTGGCAACAGCTGCTATTTGCCTTGCCTCTTCCAGGTGGGGCACACAGCTATAGGAGGATGAACTAGAGCAGAATCCTTCTCCTGCACAGTGGCTTCTCTATTATATCTATATATCTATATAAGTGATGGACATTGCACCTCTTTTGCAATTGATACGTTGTTAGCAAAATAAACTTGTTGGCAAGTCAGGGGAGGTGAATATCGGACCTATGGAACTAATACATGCCACAGACAAACCAAATCTAATCAGGATGGCTTCATCCCTCCTTTCTTTTTGCAGACAGGTGAAAATATATATCTGCCATTAGGCATTTAAGGGATATTGAAGGACAGGCTGCTGGGGGTGCTATTGGTTGGGATTTGGGGTGTCTGTGTCATTTTTCACTCTAATCTTAACTGTGTTGTCGAAGGCCAGAATCACTAGGTTGCTGTGAGTTTTCTGGGCTGTATGGCCATGTTCCAGAAGCATTTTTTCCTGACGTTTTGCTCACATCTATGGCAGGCAACCACAAGCATATGTACAATTTGAACAGAAAGGAGAAAAACATGAAAATGAACAAAATCTGGAATCAGGACAGTAAATAAAAAGCAACACTAAAAACAAAACAAAAAACGGGAATTCCAGACACAAATCAATCAGGGCCAGCTAACACCTCCCAACAAAGGACCTCCCAGGCAGCAACCAGCCAGGCTTTGAAGCTGCTAAGCCATTAAATGCTAATCAAGGTGGCCAATTGCAACATTCACACTTGCCTCAAACAGATAAGAGTTCTTTCTCCCACCCTGGACATTCCACAGATATATAAACCTCACTTGCCTAGTTTCCAACAGACCTCACAACCTCTGAGGATGCTTGCCATAGATGTGGGTGAAACATCAGGAAAGAATGCTTCTGGAACATGGCCATACAGCCCAAAAAACTCACAAGAGCCCTCTAATCTTAATCGTCTTATTTTTTACGCTTCATATCACAGAGATTTAATTATTTTTTATTTTTATATTCATAATTACCTGCATTAAGAGATCTCCATGATCTCCTAAATAAATTTTGGAAAGGAGTACAAACTAAAGGCACTTCAAAACTATCAAAACACACGCTTACCCCATGCTTGCATATATGTCTCAGTGTGAAAGTGAAAAATGCATAACTCTGGAAACAATGGGCCAGAGCTTGAAAAAGTTAACATTTTAGACTATAGATACTACAGTCACCTAGTTAGCATAGGCAATTTCTGAGAGGAGCTGACAGCAAGCATCAATAGATTTCAGCGATCTGGTGGAATTACTTATAAAGATCAGTATTTGTTCCTTCCAGGCAGGCCCTATATCCCAGGATCTGATCCCTGGTTTTGTGCTTTAAACTGGATTATATGAGTCTGCTCTGCCAAATAATCTGGGATGAACAGAAAACCTGGCATCAGATCCTGGAATATAGGGCCTGTCTGGAAGGGCCCCCAGAGGAGCATATTAGAGTGCATCTACATGTAGAACTGATGCAGTTTGACAACACTCTGACTGTCATGCCTAAATGCTATGGAATCATATAGTTTTGTTAGCATGCTCCGCCAAAGAGTGCTAGTGCCTCACCAAGCTACAGATGCCAGGATTCCATAGCATTGAGCCGTGGCAGCTAAAGTGGTATCAAACTGCATTAATTCTACAGTGTAGTTGCACCCTGAGCTGGGATGTGGCATCAGAGCTAAACTTGATGGTATGATTCACAGCTATTTTACTATGTAAAATGGAATAGACTGGGTCCTAGTTATTTTGTTTTGATTTGTTCCTTAAATTCATGTTTAGTACTGTATCTTTGGAGTTCAGAATTTAGCCGCTTGAGGGCAGTGTTTGCATTGTTTATAAATTTGTCAAAAGGGAAATTCCCCCCAGCTAAACTTTTCTCTGCCCCACTCTGCATTAATGTTGCTGAACTTTCAAAGCAACATTTGAAAGACATAATAAGGGACATCCAAAATCCATGATACGTAGGGTTGACAATCCAGGAATAGCTATTAATGAGCTTATGTACTGGCTTAACACAAAATGAAAGCATTAATTTCAGAGCTATATATTTTTCTGTAAAATTAGCCTATTGTTTCCATTCATAAAACACATTATTATTATTATTATTATTATTATTATTATTATTATTTACAGTATTTATATACTTATATTTATTGTATATCTATGAAGGGACAAACCCCCAAATATAGGATGCTTTGGCATTTTGTTCAGTTTGTGTAAAATGAAAAGGTTTTCAACCTTCAAATGGTGGACATCTCTTCTAATAAGGGATGCTTGCAAACTCCACACGAAACAGATTTTTTGGTCCCCTAATAAGGGACATCCCTTACAATAATGGACTCTTGGCAATCATACATTGCATTGTATCCTAATTATGTATGATCAACATAAAGATTCCAAGATTAATACAATTAATTGCTTAAATCCATCCCTCCTAACTATGACCATTATTTATTTGAGAAGAGAATTGGGGTACAGTTATATATAATGTATTTAAAAAATAAACAAAGTTAAAAACTTGGCATTATACTAGATTTCCTTTGACCAGAAGCTGCCCACTTGGAGTGCCTCTGGTGATGCTGTGAGAAGGTCCTCCATTGTGCATGTGGAAGGGCTCAGGTTGGATTGCACTATTATGCAATAGAAGTAGGTGGTCTGTGGTTAGCTCTGCATTTCATGGTGCCAGAGCACAGCCTGTTCAGTACCTTCCAAGTCGCTCGATCTTCTGTGTGCCCAGGAGGGAGTTTCTCATCCGGGAAAGAGTTAATTAATATAATATAAATGGCATTGTATTTCCACACATCTGAAGTTGGGCAAAATTATTTTGGAGAAATTACAGCTTCTTCAATCTGCCCATCACCATTATCACTGGGCATGTTGACTGGGGGACTCTAGGTCAAAAAAGTAACTTTTCCCAGCTCTGCCCATCTTAGACCCCTTCTACACTACCATATAATCCAGGTTATCTGCTTTGGACTGGATTATCTGAGTCTCCACTGCCACATAATCTAGTTCAAAGCAGATATCTGGATTTTTATCTGGCAGTGTAGAAGGGGACATAGTTTGCTAATTTATTTGTTATGGCTGCAGACTATTCAATTACTTCTTCTTCCAATACTGACCTTCCTGTATTTTGTTTTGCATAGAAAAGGTTCAGGCAGAAATTGACTTGGTTATTGGACGAGAGAGGCCTCCTTCTCTTGCAGACAAGGCGCAGATGCCTTTCACAGAAGCAACCATCATGGAAGTCCAAAGGATGACAGTCGTCGTTCCTCTTTCTATTCCTCGAATGGCATCAGAAACAACAAGTGAGTATAGCTAACTCATAGCTACATAGATTTACCTCTTTTGGGGGATATTGATCTTAACTATATATACTGGAGAGGAACCGGGAAAGAGTTAATTAAGAATATATATTATGACATCTGCCAGTATCTCCCAGATTAGGAATTTTGGGAGTTACAGTCCAAAAAAGGTAAGTTTCCAAAAACTTCCTTTTTTTTTGGAAAAAAAGGGGGGAGGTGGAAAGTTGAAATTTGAAAAAAAAATATTTCTGCTTTTCTTTCTTCTGCTATAAGGTTAACTGACCCATTTGTTTGTGACATTGGGACTTTTCACTTGAATTGGAGCTGACATTCTGTCTTCAGCTATGTTGGATAAATCCTACATATATTTATAGCAGAAACTGTAAATTATCTTTCGCTGACAAAATAACTCTGCTTTTATTGTTCTCTCAGATCAGAATTTGGTTCCAAGAAAAGATGAAAGCTTTAAATCTGTAGCAATAGTATTTTATTTTAGAGGCATTATGCTTTTATTTGGGAGCCAGAATAGTGTAGAGATTTGAACATTTGTTAATTCTCCATAATGTTTTCTCATTCTTCTTCCTCTTGAACATCCTGTTTAGTATATCAAACTGTTAGTTAGGAAATCTTGCCTTTTTTTATTTAATGGCACCATATTCTCCCCCAAATAATGCATATTAAGGGTGAGAAATGGGCAGCAGACCTGATGTTGAACTGCAACTTCCAGCATTCTTCATTACTGGCACTGTCGCTAGGGCTTATGGGACGGTTGAGTAACCTCTAAAGGGCCCCATAATTTTCATTCCTTGTGTGGGAGAAAATGCTCTTCAGTTTCTGACCACCACGGTGCCTTGTCTAGATTTTTCCACTTTTACTGTACTGCAATGTGTGCAAAAGAAATCCCTGTATTACCTACTCAGTGGAGATAACACTCCTGCCATCCCAATATGTTCTGATTGGAAGGAAAAGTGAAGTGGGAATGCAACCTAAGAACATAGCATTTAGCTTAGAATGTAACAAGAGACAACAGTGTTTGCAAATAAAGCCTTCAGTAAAGTGTTGTGTAGATGTTAGAGGTGTGATCTTTACAACAGAGGTCATGGGGAGCATTTTTTCAGAGGATGGATCCATTTCGCTTGCTATGGGTTGAATATCCCTTATCAGGGAATACAAAACCCAGAATAACCCAAAATCCAAAATTGTCCACCTTTGCTTTTTGATCATTCCATGAACACAAGTGTTTCATGTATGCAATTATTTAAACAATGTGTATAAAATAACGTTTATAATTTTGTGTTTTGATTCGGGCCCCATCTCCAAGATATCCCATGTACAGTATATGCAAATGCAGGTATTCCAAAATACTTCTAGTCCCGAGCATTTGAATAAGGGACACTTAACATATACTGACTTCACTAATTTATGACAGGTTTTCGGTACCAAACACGAAGAGGAGTTTTACCAGAAACTAGTTTTGTGTGCAGACAGACCCTTATCTTCTTTTTCAGCTTCAAGGAGGAAAATCAGAGCCAAAACAATGAAGAATGGACTGTGATCAGACTTGAGTGCATGGACTGTGGTCCATTTCTCCACATCTAGTGCTTTGTAAATAGGTTGTTAATTAGTTACTTTTCAGCAAGTCACTCAAGTCTTGTTTTGCACTGCAGTAAACTTTGCAATGTCCCTTCATAGGGCACTTCCACACAGCCCTATATTTCAGAATATTAAGGCAGAAAATCTCCACAATATCTGCTTTGAACAGGGTTATATGAGTCCACACTGCCATATATTCCAGTTTAAAGCAGGAAATGTGGGAATTTATTCAGCTGTGTGGAAGGGGCCATAAACATTTGTACCACATTGGAATTGGATGACTTTCCTGAGTTGCAAACATATTTGAAACAGGAAAATCTATGACCATTAGAGCCATGGAAGTTTATGTATGGTTTATTTTTATCTCTTGGTATATTTTATTGGTAGAATTTTATCTCTATGTGGAAAATGCTGCAAATTCAAACAATGTTTAGAAATGTAGAACTATATTCTGGTGATGCCAAAAAAACGATGTTATTCACCTACGCACTTATTTTTCAGTGAGTGAGCGTTATTTATTACTTTACCTGCTGCCATTATTTTTAGCTATAGGTTTTTAGCAGTTTGGCTGATTTTTATTAGCTCTTTCTGCCATTCAAAGCCAAAGGGTTTGGATTTGATGGAGGATGTACTGATGCAACCCACTTTGTTAGAGTTTTCTCCCTGAAACCTTTGAAAGAAAGAGAGGAAGAATATTCCTTGGAATAATTATTTCCACAACTATAGCACCATTTCTTAAACTCATTGCTTGCTTGTCTTTAGAGCTCCAGGGCTACACTATTCCAAAGGGCAGCGTAATCATTCCTAACTTGTGGTCGGTGCACCGAGATCCCAAGATATGGGAGAAACCAGATGATTTCCACCCAGCGAGGTTTCTGGATGAAAACGGCCAACTCCTCAAAAAAGAAACGTTTATTCCTTTTGGAATTGGTAATTATTTAACTTCTTTCTTTAATTGAGATTATGAGGACAATTGCATCAGTGACATAGGAATACACACATCATAAGTTTTGCCGACATGTGTGTATTCCAAAAGCCAGTCTGCTACCGAGCACAATTCAAAGTGCTGACTTTAGCCTATAAAGCCCTAAACGGTTCTGGCCCTGCTTATCTGTCCGAACGTATCTCTCCTTATGAACCATCCAGGAATTTAAGATCTTCTGGGGAGACCCTGCTCTCGGTCCCGCCTTTTTCACAGGTTCGGTTAGTGGGGATGAGAGACAGGGCCTTCTCAGTGGTGGCCCTCAGCCATGGAACGCCCTCCCTAGGGACGTTAGATCGGCCCCAACCCTCGTAACTTTTCGTAAAAAAGTTTTATTACTTGTGGAATTTTATTTATGTTGAATGTTTTAGCTGTTTTTATACAATTGTTGGCATCGAATTGTGCCGTTTTGTAAACCGTCCTGAGTTGCCGTCGGGCTGAGAATGGTGGTATAGAAATAGAGTAAATAAATACATAAATAGTGTTTTTCATTTCTGCTCCATCTCACTCCTTTTGCAGGGAGGCGTGTCTGCATGGGAGAGCAACTAGCTAAGATGGAGCTCTTTTTGATGCTTGTGAGTCTCCTGCAAACGTTCACTTTTCAATTTCCTGAAGATGCAAAGAAGCCACCCATGGAAGGAAGATTTGGCCTAACATTGGCTCCATTTCCATACAACATAATTGCCTTAAAAAGATGAAGGAACCTCGGTCCAGAATGATGCATGAAGCTTGTAATATTCCTATGAAATTCAGGGCTATGTATGAATTGTATTTCACTAACACAGTCACCAACCCTTGCGCAGGGGGTATGGGGGTCTTTCCGCTAACAGGGTGTCCAAAGCTCATAAAGCACTTTCCCCTTCGCTTGGGGACTCTTTCATGTGTGGAAAACTTTTGTCTATGAGAAACCAAGCAAGGTTTGTAGTCCTCAAGAGTTGCAGTGTAACTGTAGAAACTATTGAATAGGAATCGAGTGGCATTTTCTATTAGTTTAGGAGCAAATGGGGAGGAAAACTTGAAAAGCAAAGTAACGAATAATAATAGCAGATGAAAATCAAAGCTCATAAAGCACTTTCCTCTTAGTCTGTGGGGAAAAAAATCTGTTTAAAATGAAGCGGTTTCTCGTCCTCAAAAGAATTGCAGTGTAACTGTTTAAAGGACTGGATAGGAATGGAGTGGCACTTTATATTAGATTAGGAGCAAACAGTGAAGACAAGTGAAAATCAAAGGTATGGATGATGATAGCAGGTGAAAATCAATAGCACTGAAAGCAGCTTTGTATTTGCCTATCTCTTTCATACAAAACTTTTGACATACTTTTGAAAAAATTCATTAAGGAAGTACCAGAGGTGTATTTTAAGAATACAATACTTTGGTTTTTTTTTTCTTTTCTTACAGATTTCTAGCCACCTTCACTGTGAAAAAAAGCAATCTTGTATACCACAGATTCAAGTGCTGATTCAGTCCTCAGGCTTGAGTTTCAGGCAAACTGAATGCTTAAAAAAATAGTGCATCGTTTGCACATCAGTTCAATCACATGGGCATTTCATTGTCTCCAAAAATGAAAAAGATTTGGAATTTCTTTAGCTGTGGAAGACCTGCTCCAGGGTTTTCCATGTGAGTTATTGGTGTCACTGCTTCTGGACAATCAGCATGATGTGCAGCTGGTTTCATCTTCAGTTATTGAGAACTTGATTTCAGTTGGGATTGTGGTATGCGTGAGATAGGAAGGAAGTGGTTGTACGTCCACAGCTTACATCATGCTTGCCTGACCTGAGATTTATTTCATTATGTCCCTCCCTGTTCACTATAATGAAAACTGGATTTTTTTGGTGTTGAGGGACTGGGGGAGTAATATGTGATCTTGACTTGCCCGTATTGTGAGTTTACAATAGAACTGAACTTCATAGAGAACTTCTGCTGACTTGTAGCATCTGTGTAGGTTTTAGCAGAAGTGTTTATGACCACTTTTAAGAAACCGATGCCTTCCATATTTTTCAATTACAAATCTCATAGTGTACAAAACTATTTAGTGATTATGGGAACTGTAATAAAAAAATCTGGACTGTTTCCGATGAAGGATGTACAGGGTGGGCCAAAAGTCACAAAGTGTTGCAGCCCAGCCAGAGTTCACCTTGCTCTTAGCACCAACCAGGAATCAAAAAGCAGTAGTAAAACAGTTTATTTAAGAAAGTACATCTAAAAACGGTGCTTCATGCAGTCATGCTGGCCACATGACCTTGGAGGCGTCTATGGACAACACCGACTCTTCAACTTAGAAATTGAGATGAGCATCACACCCCAGAGTCAGACATGACTGGACTTAATGTCAGGGGACAACTTTTACCTTTACCTACATATAAAAAGGGAAAATCACCAAAAGGAATAAGGAAGGCAAAATCCAACAGGCAATCAAAAAAGGTAGTCAGTATGTAAAACTTCAACCAACCTGGTGAGGAGTGAAAATACTTCAAAGCCAATAATCCAAATAGTACAGGAAAACAAGAATCATAACATGAGCATAGTCCCAGGAAAACAAGAATCAAAAGATGAACATGAATTCATAAAAAACTAAGGCTATAAGAACTTCTTAAAACAGTAATTATGAATCTGTGGGTACCCAGATGTTCTGGCCTTCAACTCCCAGAAATCCGAACAGCTGGTAACCTGGTTGAGAACCACTGTCTTAAAATATGAATCAAAACTCCCAGGAGGTATTTATTTATGTATTTATTTATTTACGGTATTTGTATGCCGCCTTTCTCAGCCCGAAGGCAACTCAAGGCGGTTTACAGTCAGCAATAATTCGATGCCCTAACAGGCATAAAATACAATTAAAAACATTTAGCATATAATATAAAAAACCATACAAAACTAATAAAGACGTAAATAATCAGCGTTTCCTTACTAAAATCATTTTCCAGTCGCTTTGCCCAGTCGTTCCCATAGTAAAACATAAACTGGACATTCAGCAGCATTGCCTGATTAAAAATCTCAACCAGACATTCCCTGATTTAAGGGCTGCAAAACATGAAGGCATTTCTTTGACCTTGAGGTTCCTTTCTCCGCACTTCTTTCTCTCTGATTTTGGATTTCCTGCATTTCTCCCTCAGATGCAGCCTGGTATCCCTGTCTAACACAGCTGTTTCCTTTGACAAGCTATCTTGGTCTGTCAGGTCTTTATAAGGGGTTGCTTAGCTTCTTGTGGGTGAAAGATCCTCTCCCTGTCTGCTGGACTCCAAAACAGTTCCACTTTCAAACTCCGTCTCACAGACAGAATCTTGCTCTGAAATCCCCCCCCCCCTTTTCCTCATGTGAAGAACTATCTCTATCACCCTCCCAGGCTCTGAAACCCCAATCTCCACATCAACATTTTTTTTTTCATGTCAGGAGCAACTTGAGAAACTGCAAGTCGCTTCTGGTGTGAGAGAATGGCCATCTGCAGGGACATTGCCTAGGGAGCACCCGGATGTTTGATGTTTTACCATCCTTGTAGGAGGCTTCTCTCATGTTCCCGCATGGGGAGCTGGAGCTGACAGAGGGAGCTCTGTCCCCAGATCCAAACCTCTGACCTTTCAGTCCTGCTGGCACAAGGGTTTAACCCACTGCACAACTGGGGGCTCCTATTCAACAAATACATTATATGTAGGAAACTAGCTCTACCTGCCATGCGTTGCTGTGGCCAACCTTCCCTCCCTCATTCTCTCCTGCTTTCTTTCTCTCCTTCCTTCCTCCCCTCTTTCCTTCCTTTCCTTGTTTGCCAGGGGGAGTTGTTTTTGGCATGCGTGGTAGCATCTTTTTGCTTTTTTGGCCCTTTAAGTCCCTTCCGTTGTGTTTTTCAGTGTTTTATGAGTGATGGTCACTTGTTGGCCTGGTAGGTGTATTGTGTCCAAATTTGGTGTCAATTCATCCAGTGGTTTTTGAGTTATGTAAATCCCACAAACTAACATTACATTTTTATTTAAATAGACCGGCTGTACCTGCCACGCGTTGCTGTGACCAACCTTCCCTCTTTCTGTCCTTCTTTCCCTCCTTCCTTCACTCCCTCTTTCCTTCCTTCCTTCCCATCTTTCCTTCTCTTCTTCTTTCCTTCTCTATTTCCTTCCTTCCCCCTTTTTCTTTCTCTTGTGCTCTCTCTTTTCTTCCTTCTCTCTTAACTTCCCTTCCTCTTTCTCTACATCTTCCCCCTTCCTTCACTCCCTCTTTCCTTCCTTCTTTCCCTTTTTTCTTTCCTTCTCTCCTTCCTTCCTTCTCTAACTTTCCTTTCTTCCCCCTTTTTCTTTCCCTCCCTTTCTCTCCTTTCTTCCTTCTCTACCTCTACCTACCTACCTTCCTTCTCTCTTTGCTTCCATGCTTCCTTTCCCTTTCCTTCCTTCTTTCCCTCCCTCTTTCTTTTCTTTCTTTCTTTCTTTTTCATTCTTTTTTTCCTCCCCTTCCCTCTTTCTTCCTTTTTTGTATTGTCATTTAGCTTTTCGTCATTTAGGTTTCTGGGGCTTTCTAAGTCCTTTCTGCTGTGTTTTTTCAGTGTTTTTATGAATGAAGGACATACATTGGGTTGTTAGGTGTATTGTGTCCAAATTTGGTGTCAATTCCCCCAGTGGTTTTTGAGTTCTGTTAATCCCACAAACGAACATTACATTTTTATTTATATAGATTAAATGTAATATAAAACAAACACCCCCCCCCCCCCCCAAAAAAAAAAAGTTATTAAAACAGCAGACACCTTCATGGGTTTTGGTCCACCCTGTACATTTCAAACTGTCTCGTTCCAAACAATTTGGAAAGTGTCCTTTAAAAGATTAAAAATAACTTCATATTAGCTGGTGTTACTGTATGCAGGATAAAACCTTATCGTAGTGAATGTTCTTCCTGCCTTTCCTTCTAACCTTGCAAGACTATGAAAGCAGAAATTACGATGCATGTTTCATGTTAGCCAGGAACATTTTCCTGGTTCTTGTTAGTGAATTCAAAGCATGAAATTAGGTGAGTGCATTGCTTTGCTATGGTGGCTGTGGGTATCTGAGAGTTAATGCACTTTCATAATGGTCACCTGAGAAAACAACAGGTAAATAAATAACAATAGCGCTGCATGTGTCTCATACATGTGTTCCCTGGGAAGGGAAACCATACTGCCAAAACTTCCGGCTGGCCTTTCTAGCAGGGGATGCCCCATTACACTGTAAATATAGGGCTCATTTTTTAATTCATTGTCCGAGAGAGCAGCGATGTGGTACTAACGTAGCAAAAACCAATATACAGACTGTAAAGCATTGTACAGATATGAGCAATAGCAAGCATTTAGTTTGGGGTAAGCCTTGAAAGGTGGTGCTGACATCCTTAGACATTTCTCAATCTTCAGTAGCAGAGCTAACACTGCACTTCTAGCTTTCAACTGAACCAATCTTAGAATGACGAAACTTGCATTGCGAAGCTGGTGGTGCAACTGATCTTTTTATAATATGGCATGCAAGGCCTCTCATAACAAGCCAGACTTTTAATGAAGCACTTTATATTCTTTTTTTTCTCTTGATCCAAAGATCTTCATTTCTCTTTGAATAGGCATGAATGGACTCACCAATGATGATGTATATGTAGCTTGCTGGTGTTTATTTTGCATCACTTTGAACCTGAGTATGAAGGATGGGGTTACTGGCAAAAGCTAGCATTGAGACCATTGCTCTTTTTTAAAAGGTGCCTATATTTCTACATACAGACTGAGATCTGTCTCTCAGTGTAAACCTTTGTCTAAATTAAACTTTTTAATTAAAAAAAAACATGGCTGTGTGGAGATTATTTATTTCTTTAATTATTGCTCAAAATTGGTTCTTCCTAGATATTAGGAATATTCTTTTACTCTAGGTCAGTGGTTCTCAACCTTCCTCATGCTGCGACCCCTTAATATAATTCTGCATGTTGTGGTGACCCCCAACCATAAAATTATTTTCCTTCCTACTTCATAACTGTCATTTTGCTACTGCTATCAATCGTAAATATCTGATATGCAGGATGTATTTTCATTCACTGGACCAAATTTGCCACAAATACCCTATACACCCAGATTTGAATACTGGTGGGGTTGGGGGGAGTTGATTTTGTCATTTGGGAGTTGTAGTTGCTGGGATTTATAGTTCACCTACAATCAAAGAGCATTCTGAACCCCACCAACAATGGAATACGACCAAACTTGGTGCACAGAACTCTCACAACCAACAGAAAATACTGGAAGAGTTTGGTGGGGAATTGACCTTGAATTTTGGAGCTGTAGTTCACCTACATCCAGAGCCAACTTGGACTCAAACAATGATGGATCTGGATGAAACTTGGCACAAATACTCAATGTGCCCAAATGTGAACACTGGTGGAGTTTGGGGAAAATAGACCTTGATATTTTGGGAGTTGTCGTTTCTGGGATTTATAGTTCACCTACAATCAAAGAGTGTTTGAAACCCCAACAATGATAGAATTGGGCCAGACTTTCCACATTAAAACTCCCATGACCAACAGAAAATACTGTGCTTTCTGATGGTCTTTAGTGCCCCCTCTGACACTCCCTTGTGACCCCTCCAGGGGTCCCGACCCCCAAGTTGAGAACCATTGCTCTAGGTGTCTTCTTTCCATACTTTACTTGTTGCTTTCCGCCAATATTTGGCTGCTCTGGCCAGAGCGAAGACAGAGGGGAGGAGAAAACATTTCCATCTTGTCTTTACTAATAATATAATATAGTACATTGTATATACATATAATATTATAATGTAATACAATATAATGCTAGTAATAATACAATATTATAATTATATATTTACATTACATGTAATATTACTAATAATATTACAATATAATGGTATAGTGCAATATAGTAATATATAATACTGATATTGCACTGTGCTAATAATATAATATATTATATGAAAATATATATTGTAAGCTGCTCTGAGTCCCCTTTGGGGTGAGAAGGGTGTCATATAAATGCCATAAATAAATAAATATTTCTGATGTTTTGGGCCATTATACTACAGACCTGGTAAGTACACTAATGGAAAGTTCCATATATACTCGAGTATAAGCCGACCCGAATGTAAGCCGAGGCATCTGACTTTACCTCAAAAGACTGGGAAAACATATTGACTCGAGTATAAGCCGAGGGTGGGAAATGCAGCAGCTATTGGTAAATTTCAAAATAACTACCAATACAATTACATTAATTGAGGCATCAGTAAGTTCAATGTTTTTGAATATTTCCAGAAATCTGTAAATTTAAGGTAAGACTATCCAACTCTGATTAAACTATTATTCTAACCTTCTTCAATGTAAATGTCCTTACGTATCCTTCCAATAATAATAAAAAGTAAAATAATAAATGTAATAATAATAACAGAGTAAAATAATGGAAATTTAATAATAATAGTGATAAATGTAATAATAAATGTAATAATAATAATAAAGTAAAATAATAAATGTAATAATAATAATAAAGTAAAATAATAAATGTAACAACAACAATAAAGTAAAATAATAAATAACCTTGATTCGAGTATAAGGCAAGGACTTTTTCATCCACTTTGGCCAGATCCGCCTTCCCGAGGTACGGTCGCAGTTGGCGCATGAGTCTTAATTGCGCAAAGGCCACCGACGCCTGAGCCTCAAACGTAAGTGAAGAATTCAGGAGGACCCCCAAACTGCGGACCTGTGACTTCAGGGGGAGTGCAACCCCGTCCAGCACAGGCATCATAAAGCAGAAAACAGTAAATATATATATAGCTGGCCAAAAATAAAATGAATTAAAACATACCAATATGTATATTGCACCAAGATGCCATTTCTGCTATTTCCAGCATGGGTTTTACATCCTGATCTTAAGATCATACACTTGAAAGAAGTGCAATCAAAGATGACTTTGATCCCAAGTAAATTAGGATGGGAGAGGGGCAATTTCCGGATGCTCAGGAGATAGCCATCTGTCAAACAAAAATTTTATTTTGTGAAGTTTTTTTTTAAACTCTAGTTATCAAGAGATAATATCAAGAATGTAAGAACCCCACTGGATCACATTAATGATCTATCTAGGCCAACTAGCCTCCCTTTTCCTACAATGTTAAGTTATAGCTATACATCTACCAATGCTTGCCGGCAGGACAAAAAGGCTTTATTACACTTTTGCTTATTCCCGTATATATGTGTATGCACACACAAGTACGCATATATTAAATGTTGCATCTAATATTTTGGAGCACCAACTACTAGATAAATTTGCTACCAGGTACAATGGTAGTAGTAATAATAATAATACATTTATTACCCACCTCTTCCTGCCTTTCGAGGTGGGGCACAGCATAATTAAAATGAGATCCAATACTATTAGATAAGATACACGTGAGTTAAATACAAGCTAAAGTCCATTTTAAAAGCCAAAAAACAAAAATTACAATACAAAACATACGTAAAACCACACACACACACACACATACACACTTGCGAACACATATACACACAGAAAACACATATACACAGACTGGGCTACAGCAACGTGTGGCAGGGGATGGCTAATAATAATAATAATAATAATAATAATCACCTTTATTTGTATGCCATTCTATCTCCCCGAGGGGATTCAGGGTGGTTTCTGGCATGGTACAGCATTGCAATTACTGACATAAGATCATACAGAAATCATCATAAAAATAAACACAGTACTATATAACAGCTATACACATTAAAAATTTAAAAACTAGTTTGGTAGTACAGTAGAGTCTTGCTTATTCAACGTAAACGGACCGGCAGAATGTTGAATAAGCAAAAATGTTGGATAATAAGGAGGGGTTAAGGAAAAGCCTATTAAATGTCAAATTACATTATGATTTTACAAATTAAGCAGCAAAACATGTTTTACAACAAATGGACAGAAAAAGCAGTTGGAAGGAAAAAGGAAGAGGGGCCGACCAAGGGCAAGATGGATGAATGGTATCCTTGAAGTGACTGGATTGACCTTGAAGGAGGTGGGGGTGGTGACAACCGACTGGGAGCTCTGTCGTGGACTGGTCCATGAAGTCACAAAGAGTCGGAAACAACTGAACGAATGAACAACAATAAAGCCTGACAATATAGCTTTCCCAAAGGCCTGGGCGTGCCATCACAAAATCTATATATATACAAATGCTCTGTGCATAATGAGTACCTTAAAAACAAAAGAACCAATGAACGAAATCACACCAAATTTGGCAACAAAACATCTCACAACACAAGGAGTGACCATCACTCAAAAAATTATGATTTTGTCATTTGGGAGTTGTAGTTGCTGGGATTTATAGTTCACCTACAATCAAAGAGCATTCTGAACTCCCAATGATGGAATTGAACCAAACGTGGCACACAGGACTCCCATGACCAACAGAAAACACTAGAAGGGTTTGGTGGGCATTGACCTTGAGTTTGGGAGTTGTAGTTCACCTACATCCAGAGAGCACTTTGGACTCAAACAATGATGGATCTGGGCCAAACTTGGCACAAATATTCCATATGCCCAAATATGAACACAGATGGAGTGTGGGGAAAATAGTCCTTAACATTTGGGAGTTGTAGTTGGTGGGATTTATAGTTCACCTACAATCACAGAGCATTTTGAACCCCACCAACGATAAAATTGGGCAAAACTTCCCACACAGAACCCCCATGTGGGCCACAGCGACGCGTGGCAGGGGATGACTTGTTGTTCATTCGTTCAGTCGTCTCCGACTCTTTGTGACCTCATGGACCAGCCCAAGCCAGAGCTCCCTGTTGGCTGTCACCACCCCCAGCTCCTTCAAGGTCAGTCCAGTCACTTCAAGGATGCCATCCATCCATCTTGCCCTTGGTCGGCCCCTTTTCCTTTTACCTTCCATTTTCCCCAGCATAATTGTTTTCTCTAGGCTTTGCTGTCTCGCCATGACTAGTCTATATAAATAAAAATCTAATGTTCATTTGTGAGATTAGCATAATTCAAAAACCACTGGATGAACTGACACCAAATTTAGACAAAATATACATATCAGGCCAACGAGTGACCATCACTCATAAAACATGGAAAAACACTGCAAAAGAGACTTAAAAAGCCAAAAATCAGAAAAAATACATTACAACTCATGTACAAAACTACATATATATATATATAGGCAAACACACATATACACAAATATATACACACAAAACACCTATACACAGACTGAGCCACAGCAACGTGTGGCAGGGGACGGCTAGTTCAGTATAAGAACAAACTTACAGAACCTATCTTAGCTATATGTGAATGTGTCCAGAGGAGGACAACTAAAATGATCAAGGGTCTGGAAAACAAGCCCTATGAGGAGCAGCTTAAGGATGTTTATCCTGAAGAAGAGAAGAATGAGAGAAGATATGATAGCCATGTATAAATATGTGAGAGGAAGCCACAGGGAGGAGGGAACAAGCATGTTTACTGCTTCCATGGAGATTAGGACGCGGAACAATGGCTTCAAACTACAAGAAAGGAGATTCCATCTGAACATGAGGAAGAACTTCCTGACTGTGAGAGCCGTTCAGCAGTGGAACTCTCTGCCCTGGAGTGTGGTGGAGGCTCCTTCTTTGGAAGCTTTTAAACAGAGGCTGGATGGCCATCTGTCAGGGGTGATTTGAATGCAATATTCCTACTTTTTGGCAGGGGGTTGGACTGGATGGCCCATGAGGTCTCTTCCAACTCTTTGATTCTATAACCTGGGAACTGCCTGTATTGTATGTAGAATGATTGCAGTTTGCCTTCACTCTAACTGCAATGGTTCAATGCTATGGAATTATATATATATATATATATATATATATATGTATATGTATATGTATATGTATATGTATATGTATATGTATATGTATAAGTATGTATGTCCTTGTAAAACTCCTGCAACTCACAGGAATCCCATAGCACTGAACCGTGGCAGTTCATTGGGTTGTCAACATGCATGCCCTTCTGCAGTGTGGAAGCAACCCTACAGAATGTGTGTGCAAAGGTCTTCCTGCTTGGGAGGCGGGGACTCTGCAAGCAGCCAGTCCCCACGTGTTCTGCTCCTGGGCTTGGGGCCGAGAGGAAGCCCGGCCCTCTCCTGAGCCTCCTCCTCCTCCTTCTCTTTCCTTGCCTGGCTCCCATTGCAGCCCCAATCCTTCTCCGCCATGGCCTTCGCCCGCTTCGCCTCCACCTCGGCCTCCGCCGCCAAGAAGCTGGTCGTGAAGCATGTCACCGTGGTTGGCGGGGGACAGATGGGCGCAGGGATTGCCCAGGTGAGGCCAAGGGCAAAGGCAGAGGGGTGCATGCCAGCAGACCCACGCCTCTCCGCCCCTCTTGCTCCCGCTCGCTTTCTTCCTTTGCACCCACTCTTTGGGGTGCATCTATAGAACAAACGGACAAACTTCTCCCCTCCAGGTGTTTTGGACTTCAGCACCCACAATTCCTAACAGCCCAGGAGTCCAAAACACCTGGAGGACTAGAGGGTGGGAATCAATGCAAATGAATGCAGTTGGACACATACCACTTTAAACTGCCATGCCATGAAATCCTAAGCTGTAACTTGACAAAGTTTTTAGCCTTCTGTGCCAAAGAGTGCAGACTACAACTCCCATCATTCCGTAGCCTTGAATCAGGGCAGCTCAAGCAGTGTCAAGCTGCATTACATTCTGCAGTATGGAATCATGGGAATTGTAGTTTGTCAAGGTCTTGAGCCCTCCCTGTCAAAGAGTGCAAACTCCCATCATTCCGTAGCCCTGAATCATGGCAGTTCAAGTAGTGTCAAGCTGCATTACATTCTGCAGTATGGAATCATGGAAGTTTTAGTTTGACAAGGTCTTTAGCTTTCTCTGCCAAATAGTGTGAACTCCAACTCCCATCATTCCGTAGCATTGAGTCATGGCAATTCAAGTGGTGTCAAGTTGCATTACGTTCTGCAGTATGGAATCATGGGAGTTGTAGTTTGACAAGGCCTTGAGCATTCTATGTCAAAGAGTGCAAACTACAATTCCCATCATTCGACAGCCTGTAAAGTAGTGTGACAAGTAGTGTAAAGTTGCATTACATTATGGAATCATGGGAGTTGTAGTCTGACAAGGTCTTGAGGCTTCCCTGCCAAAGAGTGCATTACATTCTGCACTATGGAATCATGGGAATTGTAGTTTGTCAAGGTCTTGAGCCTTACCTGTCAAAGAGTGCAAACTCCCATCATTCCGTAGCGCTGAATCATGGCAGTTCAAGTAGTGTCAAGTTGTATTACATTCTGCAGCATGCGTTGAATCATGAGAGTTGTAGTTTGACAAGATCTTTAGCCTTCCCTGCCAAAGAGTACAAACTACAACTCCCATCATTCTGTAGCCTTGAATCAGAGCAGTTTGAGTAGTGTTGAGCTGCATTACATTCTGCAGCATGGAATCATGGGAGTTGTAGTTTGACAAGGTATTTAGCCTTCCCTGCCAAAGAGTGAATACTATAACTCCCATCATTACATAGTGTTCAAGTAGTGTAAAGTTACATTACATTCTGCAGTATGCGTTGAATCATGGGAGTTGTAGTTTGACAAGGTCTTGAGCCTTTCCTGCCAGAGTTGAAACTACAACTCCCTGCTGAATCAGGGCAGGTCAAGTACTGTCAAGTTTCATTACATTCTGCAGCATGGAATCATGGGAGTTGTAGTTTGACAAGATCTTTAGCCTTCCCTGCCAAAGAGTGCGTACTACAACTCCCATCACTCTGTAGCCTTGAATCATGGCAGTTCAAGTAGTGTCAAGTTGCATTACATTCTGCAGCATGGAATCATGGGAGTTGTAGTTTGACAAGGTCTTGAGCCTTCTCTGCCAAAGGGCGCAAAGTAGAACTCGCATAACTCCGTAGCCTTGAATCATGGCGGGCCAAGTAGTGTCAAGTTGTATTACATTCTGCAGTATGGAATCATGGGAGTCGTAGTTTGACAAGGTCTTGAGCCTTCTCCGCCAAAGAGTGCAAAATACAACTCCCATATACCTCCAGGGTAGCTCATTATATATGTATGTGCAAATAGAGGTATTCCAAAATAAATAACAAAAATTCCAAAATACTTGTGATCCGAAGCATTTCATATAAGGTTGACTCCAGTTGTAGTTAAAAAAATGCTAATAGTAATACTCAAGGGATATTATTAGAACACATGAGATGTCAATCGGGAGAAATTAGCAGCATTGCTGCGGAGGAGAGTGGAAAGTATGCTGTCCTTTTTCCCAGAAGCACGCTCTCTTCTCCATATCCAAGTCATTGCTCTGCTTCACAAGTTGTGTGCCTTCTCTTGTGGAACCTGACTGGCAGGGCCCTTATCTGGGCCGAGGCGGTGGCTTCAAGAAGCAAGTGGTAGACGTTATAAAAGGCAGCCAATTCACTTATCTTATTGCATTTCTAAATTGCCTGACATGAAGAGGAGAGAGTGTTTTATGGGTAACTACCGGTATGTCCAAACAATTTGGCTGGTTTTAGCTATTGTACAGCTTGAATTCAGACAGCAGCATTCCTTGGGCCATCTTTTGCACATTAAGGGTGCATCTACACTCTAGAGTTCATGCAGTTTGACACCACTTTAACTGTGATGCCTCTATGCTGTGGAAGAGTGGGCTTTGTATTTTGACAAAGCTTCTCTGCCAAAAGATGCCAGGGCCTCACCAATCTACAATTTTTGTGATTCCATAGTATTGAGCTGTGGCAGTTCAACTGGTCTCAAACTGCATTGTGTTGTCAAAGGCTTTCATGGCTGGAATCACTGGGTTGTTGTAGGTATTTCGGACTGTATGGCCATGTTCCAGAAGCATTCTCTCCTGATGTTTTCCCCACAACTATGGCAGCCATCCTCAGGGGTTGTGAATATGACTGCCATAGATGTGGGTAAAATGTCAGGACAGAATGCCTCTGGAACATGGTCATACAGCCTGGTAAACTCGCAGCAACCCATTCAGACTGCATTACTTCTACAGTGTAGATGTACCCTTAGGAAGATTTCATGTGCCAAACACAAATAGCACCCAAAATATTCAAGAGTGTGTGCTGGGAATTGTGTCTGTAAATGTCATGGCCATTTTCCAAATCTAGGAGTATGCCATCAAATTGTCAATTTGGGCATCAAATTATGAATTATGTAGATTATAATGATCGGGAGAAATTAGCAGCATTGCTGCGGAGGAGAGTGGAAAGTATGCTGTCCTTTTTCCCAGAATTAATATTCATGGTGGGAAGTACCACTGGAATGCCTGACAATGTTGGGTGCTTTTAATGGGAACCAAAGAGGAATACTGCAGCTAGTTATCTCCCTTGTGCCTACTGGGATTGTGAAATGTTTGCTTCTCTCCAAAGCTCAGGTTTTAACTTGCAGCTCCTTACATGAACATATCCACCTGATAAGATGGTTGCTTACACCATCTCAGTGCAAGATGTTGGGGAAGAAAAAAATCTTTGCCCTTTCTCTATGGGTGCATATACTTCAGAATAAATGCAGTTTAACACCACTTTAACTGCCATGGCTAAATTCTATGGAATCATGGGAGTGGTAGTATTACAAGGCCTTGAGCCTTCACTCCCAGAGTGCTGGTGTTTGGACTGGTTGGATCTTCTCTCGGTCCAAGGCACTCTTCGACCACAGTTCAAAAGCATCTATCTTCCTTCGCTCAGCCTTCCTTATGGTCCAGCTCTCACATCCATAGGTTACTACGGGGAAAACCATTGCTTTAATTATGCAGACCTTTGTTGCCAGTGTGATGTCTCCACTCTTCACTATTTTATTGAGATTGGTCATTGCTCTCCTCCCAAGAAGTAACCGTCTTCTGATTTGCTGGCTGCAGTCTATGTCTGCTGTAATCTTTGTGTCTAGAAATACAAAGTCTGTCACTGCCTCCACGTTTTCTCCCTCCGTTTCCAATCAGTCTGGTTGCCATAGTCTTGGTTTTTTTTTTATTAAGTTTAACTGCTTTTACATTTTCTTCTTTCACCTTGGTTAGAAGGCTCCTCAGCTCCTCCTCGCTTTCAGGAGCTGATAAGTGGTATCATCTGCATATCTAAAATTGATAATGTTTCTTCCAGCAATTTTAACTCCAGCCTTGGATTCGTCAAGCACATGATGCGTTCTGCATACAAGTTGAATAGGTTGGGTGAGAGTATACAACCCTGCCGTATGCCTTTCCCAATCATGCCATATGGCATATTTCCTGGTATTCATTCTTGCTGTTTCTAATGCCTTATGAAACTGAGTTATGTTGAGTTCTCAATTTATTTAATGCTTTTTGTATTGTGAAGTACCTTGAGCTGTAGGCAAAATGGAATATAGTGGTATTATAAATCAATTTCAGCTCAGAATTGTTTTCCCAGCAGTTTCCATGAAGCTTTTTAAAAAAAAGTGGTAAACATCATAATATATATTTGCACCCTGCCTCAGTAGAGATAGATAGATAGACAGGCAGGCACACACACATTTTTTCATGTTGACAATTTTAAGAATTCGATTGGGTAATTAAATATGCAGTGACTGCTCCATCTTTACATAGCAAGACTATCCCCAATTTCTACTTTATATAGATGGGAGGTGGTATTGTTATTGAAAGGGTTTAGAAACATTCTGTATACAAGTCTGAAAATTTTCCAGTTTCTGATGATTCTTAAGATCCTCAAGCTGAAAGTGTGTGACTTGTCTAAGGTCACCCATTGGGCTTCCATGGCCAAGCAAAGATTTGAACCCTTGTCTCCAGAGCAGGCATGGGTAAACTAAGGCCCGGAAGCCAGATGCGGCCCCCTGGGCACTTACCTGAACCCCTCCTCATTTTCCCTGTCCTCTCAGCGTAAGGACACGGTGCCTGCTGCAACAGCTGAGAGCCCTCTGGAGCACTCTCAACCACCACACGTCTCACCGTCCTCCTGGCAGTTGCTGTGGGTCTCGTTTTCCTCCCAGCATTAGGATGAAGCGAGCAGCCCCATCTTTATGCCAGAAGGACAACCTGAGCATGACCCTCCCCCTGCCCCGTCGCTTCTCGGCTCCACCTTCTCACGGGTCCTTTTCCTCTTGGCCTGGCCCTCTTGGTCAGGCCCACAATGTGGCCCCAAACAATTCTGAGCTGGAACTGCATAGCAAAACTGATTTATAATACCACTCCTCCTGGCAATTCAGTTCTACAACATAATTCCCATTAACATCACTGTAAGAGTTGGGATCCTTTTGATTAAACGCAGTAACCATTTTACCACCAAAATAAAATATGCTACTCATTTAATTTGTTGTAGTATGTGCAATAACAGCACACCTTGATTGTACTGTAATTCAGTTCTTCAACATAATTCCCATTAACATCACTGTAAGAGTTGGGATCCTTTTGATTAAACGCTTTACTATTTTAAAGATTTTATAGTCACAGAACTTTGTGACATGAATGATACTAAAAGTAATATTCTTGAAGAGGAAAATGTTCTGAGATCCTCTTGTGGAAGGGAAATAGGTGTGACTGTGCTAGGTGAAAGTTCACCTTGACTACCTGTGCTTCTTCTTGCTAATTGCCTTTCAGTCTAGTAATAAACAAGGAGTCATTTTGGCAGATAATTGGCTAAAGTACTTCATTTCCCTTTTGTGGTGAAACCTTTGGTGTTCTCTCACCATGCTAATTTTGCTTTTCCAAACAGACAAAGAAAAACCCCAAGATTGTGACTTCCCATTACCTGGAAAGTTGCAGGGATATAAATCATAAAATGATTATTATCGTTATTGTTATTATGTTTATTATTATGTTTGCTTATACCCTGTTTTTTCTCTCTACAAAGGAGATGCACAGCGGCTTACATTAAAAGCATTTCACTTCGATTTAAAACCCAAAAATATACAAAGATTAAAAGAGAATAAAAACGTGTGGACCACATGCAGCGCTGAAGTCTCTAGTATCCCCCCCCCCCCCCCCCCCCCCCGATTCTCCAGTTGGAAATAAACACATACCAGAAATATTTTTAAAGCTCTTTGTAGAATTGTATACCACTTGCTGAAAAATAACCAGAAGTGAAGGTTATAACTTCTGATTACTCAAAATGGTAGGTGTAGGTATATGTCAGCAACATGAAATGTTTGGAAAGCTCAGTCATAATTTTCTCTCCCTCCCCAGTGGGTTGTCTTAACCTATCACAAAGTTGTTGATAGAAAAAAGGTCAAAAATTATAGAATCATAGTGTAGGAAAGAACTACAATGGTGATCTAGTCCAATTCTGTGCCATGCAGATGTACACAACAAAAGCTCTCTTGGAAAATGCCCATTTAAAGACCTTCAGAGTTGGAGAGTTCACCACTTTTTCAGTTTAATGGGTTATTCTCCTACCATCTTTCTCTTTCGAGTCACTTTTCTTCTTTTTGGTATCCTTCCTCAATCTTCTTTTCTATAGGTTGCTGCATCCACCGGCCACACTGTGATGTTAGTGGATCAATCAGATGAAATATTAAACAAATCCAAGAAAGGAATTGAAGACAGTCTGAAAAAAGTGGCGAAGAAAAGGTTTGCAGACAAACCTGAGGTATGGCTTAATATTTATAAATACTGGGAATGGTGGTGGTTGAATGTGACAAATCTGTTTTTATTCTTTGGATATTTCATGCCTAGGGAGACAAATGCAGTGATATTAAGATCTGTACAGTTTTTTGAAGAGATTCCTTTCAAAAGCTGGAGTTAGGATGCTTGTAAAGAACCCATTCCTCACTGCTGCAGTTTGCAGTTGGAGCCCCCAGTGGCTCAATGAGTTAAATCTTTGTGCCAGTAGGACTGCTGATCGAAAGGTCGGTGGTTTGAATTGGGGGAGCTTCTGTCTGTCAGCTCCATCTTCTCATGAGAGAAGCCTCCCACAGGATGGTAAAACATTCGGGCATCCTCTAGTCAGCGTCCTTGCAGACGGCCTATTCTCTCACACCAAAAGCAATTTGCAGTTTCTCAAGTCGCTCCTAACATGAAAAAAAATGGTTGCAGCCTGCAAACTAAAGCGTGCAGATCATTATGTTTCTAGATGTGTGGAAGAAAGCAAAAGGCAGCTGTGGGAGACAAAACAACTGTGCATCCATTGTGACTCTTACTGGATTGGATGGACACATGTGGTTCTTGTCATATTATTTCCATTGAAAGCATAACATTATTTTATTCCCTTATATTAATTTGTCTCCCTCTTCGATGAGATGTGCATAAAGACTTTTTCATGCAGCAACATTTTTATCTGATATATTCACTACTCTAAATTGAGATCCTTGAATCAAAAGTCTTGTCCCTTAGGAGCATCTTAGGAAAGTAACATGGTTTGGTAAGATGAAAGAAATCAGATTTTTATAAAATGGCTTTTCATGCAGATTTCATATGTTTAAACAGTACAGCCCCGATATCCACAGTACTGGCATCTATTGTTGCATTTATTCACATCAAGCAAAATATGTCCTCCTTGGGCATTAACTAGTTCCTTTATAGTAACTCCATGATATCCTTGAGGCAGAAGTCCTTCATTTCAATAGTTATGAGAAACTGGAGATCACAGCAAACCCTATCTGGAATGTATACCCTGCAGATATGGGGGCCATGCTGTACCTATGATCATTCTTATTATAGGCAGCCACATGCTAGATGTGTATATTAGGGCTGGGCGGTTTCGTTTCGTTAATTCATAATTCATTAAAAAATTCGTTAATTTTTCAATTACAAAACGATAACGAACCAGTCTGGAGCAATTTTTCAAAAAAAAACGAATTTTTAAATCGTTTCGTAAATGTTTTGTATTTCGTTATTGTATTCATTTTGTTATCGTTTTGAGGTCGTTTCGTTATTATTTCCGCATGTCTGGGGCAAGTTTTATAGTTGTTTTTGGTTTTCTAAGGGTTTTTATAGTTGTTTTTGGTTTAATTAAGCTTCAGAAGTTCCCCCTGTCCCATTTGGAGGTTTTTTAGCGTATTGCGCGGTCGCGTCCGCCATTAACGAATCGATTTGTTATTGTTTCGGAAATCGATTCGTTATTGTTTTGTAATTTTTTTCACATTTACGAAATTTCGTAAATATCGAACTTTTTAAAAGGAAAATTTTGTAATTATTTTAAATAACGAAACGCAAAAACCCCCAAAAAACGAATCGATTTTAGAAACAAATTTTTCCGTTGTTACCCAGGCCTACCTAATACCTATTGAACTTTCACTAAGCAATGTTTTAGGAACCAGGGCCAATATAGCATTCCACACCTTGTATCATAATGCTGCTTTTGAGTAGCATTAATGAAAGTGATGGTCAGCGGGCCCATATTTTTAGGGGGAAAAAATAAAAATTGCGCAAATATAGTACCAAACCCAAGCACACTGGGAAAATAAGTTGTCAATCCCTCATTGCTGTAGAGCACTGATTGCTGTAAGGTTTTTGGGCTGTATGGCCATGTTCCAGAAGCATTATCTCCTGACGTTTTGCCTGCGTCTATGGCAGGCATCCTCAGAGGATGCTTCTGGAACACGGCCATACAGCCCGAAAAACTTACAGTAACGCAGTGATTCCGGCCATGAAAGCCTTCGACAATATATGTTGCAACTGAAATGGGAATCCTCCTGTGACAATGAATTAAATGTTCTGTGCTTTTTGTTCTTTCTCCAACTTCTCAGGCTGGTGCAGAGTTCATTGAGAAAACGTTAAAGAACATCGGCACAAGCACAGATCCCGTCTCAGTTGTACATAGTACTGACCTTGTAGTGGAGGCCATTGTGGAAAATCTATCGGCAAAACATGAGCTCTTCAAGACACTGGATAAGTTTGCACCAGAGTATGTTATTCAGTTCCAAAACTAATACAAAAGGCCATTAATAGCTATAGCCTGTTCAAAATGCCTATTCATTTTTCATGAGGTTGGTGGAACCAAAACCTCCTATCCTATGCATGCTCTTCTCTTAATAATGAGTAATATTTTTAAATGCTTAATGTTTCAATTTTAGTCTAATTTAATTTTAATTTTTGGAATTGTATGCATTTTAAGGCATTGAATAATTGTAAGCTGTCTTGAGTCCCCTTCGGGGTAGAGAAAGGCAGGGTATGAATAGAGTAAATAACTACAAAATTAATTACTTGGAAGAAAAACATCCAAATATCTGACCAATAGATACACCTTCTGTTGTGCTGCCTAACTAATCACCCCATCGATCTGGGATGTAAGCTTCTTTCATAGACCCACATACTGGAAATGGTATGTGGGTCTGGGTTGCTGTGAGTTTTCCAGGATATATTGCCATGTTCCAGAAGCATTCTCTCCTGACGTTTTGCCCACATCTATGGCAGGCATCCTCAGAGTTTGTGAGGTTTGTTGGAAACTAGGCAAGTGAGGCTTATATATCTGTGGAATGATGTCAAGGGTGGGAGAAAGAACTCTTGTCTGCTTGAGGCAAGTGTGAATGTTGCAATTGGCCACCTRGGTTAGCATTTAATGGCCTTGTAGCTTCAAAGTCTGACTGATTGCTGTCTGGGGGTCCTTTGTTGGAAGGTGTTATCTGGCCCTGATTAATTTCTGTCTGGAATTCCCCTGTTTTTTTGAGTGTTGCTCTTTATTTATTGTCCTGATTTTAGAGTTTAATAGTGGTAGCCAAATTTTGCTCATTTTCACGGTTTCCTCCTTTCTGTTAAAATTGTCCATATGCTTGTGGAGTTCAATGGCTTCTCTGTAAAGTTRTAGGTGGTTCAGTTCGCCTTGGAGAAAGTGGGATTCACAGGTTCTTTTTGCTTGTGGGTCTATGCAAGAAGAAGAAAGCATCTTTTTAAATTTCCTGCCACAATTTTGCTCAGAGATCACAGATATATTAAAAAATGGAATGAATAATTRATTCTGAGGCTATATAGCAGRTTAATACTTCTGCTGGCATTTTTCTCATATGGTGGAATATTTTCTATATTGTCGAAGGCTTTCATGGCCGAAATCACTGGGTTGTTGTAGGTTTTTTCGGGCTATATGGCCATGTTCTAGAGGCATTCTCTCCTGACGTTTTGCCTGCATTTATGGCAAGCATCCTCAGAGGTAGTGAGGTCTATTGGAAGTAGGAAAATTGGTTTATATATCTGTGGAATGATCAGGGTGGGACAAAGGACTCTTGTCTGCAGGAGCTAGGTGTAAATGTTTCAACTGACCACCTTGATTAGCATTTGATGGCCTGGCAGTGCCTGGGGCAATCTTTTGTTGAGAGGTGATTAGATGTCCCTGATGGTTTCCTCTCTGTTGTTTTGCTGTTGTAATTTTAGAGTTTTAATACTGGTAGCCAGATTTTGTTCATTTTCATGGTTTCCTCTTTTCTGTTGAAATTTTCCACATGCTTATGGATTTCAATGGCTTCTCTGTGTAGTCTGACGTGGTGGTTGTTGGAGTGGTCCAGCATTTCTGTGTTCTCAAATAATATGTTGTGTCCAGGCTGGTTCATCAGGTGCTCTGCTATGGCTGACTTCTCTGGTTTAAGCAGTCTGCAGTGCCTTTCATGTTCCTTGATTCGTGTTTGGGCATTGCTGCGTTTGGTGGTCCCTATGTAGACTTGTCCACAGCTGCATGGTACACAGTAGACTCCTGCAGAAGTGAGAGGATCCCTCTTGTCCTTTGCTGAACGTCGCATTTGTTGGATTTTCTTGGTGGGTCTGTAGATAGTTTGTATGTTGTGTTTCCTCATCAGCTTCCCTATACGGTCAGTGGTTCCCTTGATGAATACCTTTCCTCTGGGTGGGTCTTTGTCTTGACTCTCATGGCTTGTTCTGGGTCTTGCAGCTCTTCTGATGTCTGAGGTGGAATATCCATTGGCCTGTAAAGCCCAATCTTTTATTAAACCACAGCAGCACAACAGTTTGGAAAAGGAAATCATTCTCAAGGCTGAAACCTGAGATGATTTCCAAATAAAGCATCATAGATGAAGATACGGTTCCGCGGCAAGTTTGGAAGCTTATCTTCTTTTCATGCGGGTGATTCTCTGATAACTTATAACTTGAAGTTCATCTCGCTGTGCCCACTGGGAGTTGTCTGAGAAATGAGTGAAGATATTAGCTTCTGAAGAAAATGAAGGTGGAGCAATCCTCTGTTTGTGAGGGAAGATTAAAAAGATATTCCTCTACCAAAGAACCACCTTCAATGAATTATTTAAGAAAAACCCCACCCATTCCTCCAGCTGCTAACGCCATATAGGTTTAATCTTCCCCGCTACCATAGGTTCTGAAGAATTATATTTTTAAATGAGCAATGCTATCAGAAAGCTAATTCTGGGCTGATTTAAATTAATCAGCTAAATAGGCTGCAGGGCTAAAACTGTGTGGAATATAGGCCAATTTAAAAGGCATATATTTTGCAGATTGCTGTATAAATGTCGCTATCACTAATGAAGGAGGCACAAGTTCTGATGAGACGTAAAACCAAAATAAAGTCACTGGAAAACAAATAGGGTTTTTTTCACACCTTGCATTAAACCTTTCATGTCACTGGAATAGTTTTTGAGTTTGTCCTTCCTGCCAAACTTTTTTTTCTTACGGATTTGAAACACTCTTCCTTTTGTGTTAGGTAAAGACAAGGCACTATGTGAGCTGTTTCACATTTAGTGGATTTATGCCTATTTTCCGAATCGAAACCCGTCCAGTGATACTAGACTCAAACAGTCTGTGGTATTCCTTAATCGTATTATTATCTATTATATATCCCACTAGGTGGTGCTGCAGATATGGGAATAGGTTTTTATAATGGAATTTGGGGTTATACTGGATTAAAATGATGTACGACTTATATGAACATGGAAACCTGAACTTTAAAGTGCATGCTATGCTGACTTTTTTTTGCCCAGAATTCAAGCTATTGAAGAAAATATCTGAGATTCAAGAATGCCTAAGACTATTATGCTGATCAATTATTACTTGATATTTCCAAGTTGCAGCAGGTTAAATCACTGAGCTGCTAAATTTGCTGACCGAAAGGTCGGCAATTTGAATCCAAAGAGCAGGGTGAGCTCCTGCTGTTAGCCTCAGCTTCTGCCAACCTAGCAGTTCAAAAGCATGCAGATGTAAGTAGATCAATAGGTATTGCTTCGGCAGGAAGGTAACGGCACTCCATGCAATCATGAGCTGCTGAACTTGCTGACCGAAGGTTTGGCAGTTCGAATCCAAAGAGCAGGGTGAGCTCCCGCTGTTAGCCTCAGCTTCTGCCAACCTAGCAGTTCAAAAACATGCAGATATGAGTAGAGCAATAGGTACTACTTCGGCAGGAATGTAATGGCGCTCCATGCAATCATGCTGACCACATGACCTTGGCGGTGTCTACGGACAATGCCAGCTGTTCGTCTTAGAAATGGTAATGAGCACCACCCCTCACAGTCGGACATGACTAGACTTAATGTCAAGGAAAATCCTTTATCTTTACCTATTTCGAAGTGCATGGATTATAAAGTAACTAACATGAAGTGGGCTTTCTTTCCCCACAGGCACACAATATTTGCCAGCAACACCTCTTCCTTGCCAATCACAGATATTGCCAATGCCACCACGAGGCAGGACCGGTTTGGTGGCCTACATTTCTTTAATCCAGTGCCTGTGATGAAACTTGTGGAGGTAAGGGATCTTGGGAGGAAAACCCTCAAAATAAATATTGTGGTGTGATTGGTCCATGCTGTTATTTATGTGATGTTGAGGATTCTATTACTGCTGTAAAGAAGTGAAGGGATAAATATTTTCATTGGACAGTGTGTGTATATATATGCCTGTCAACATATGGTAATCCCATGAATTTCACAGGGTTTTCTTAGTCAAGGACTCCTCAGAGGTGGTTTTGCCAGTTTTGTCCTCTAAAATACAGCTCACCTGGTATTCATAGTTGGTCTCCCATCCAATGGATAACCAAGGTTGATCCAGCTTAGCTTCCAAGAAAACTGTATATGTTAAAATAAAATATTCACAGGAGAAGCCATGTTTTTATTTTGTGGGGCAAATGCAATGTGCTTGGGCCCCTGGTAGTGCAGTCGGTTAAATCGCTGTGCTGCAGAACTTGCTGACCAAAAAGTTGGCAGTTCAAATCCAGGAAGCGGGGTTAGCCCCAGCTTCTGCCAACCTAGCAGGTCAAAAACATGCAAATGTGAGTAGTTCATTAGGTACTGCTTCAGTGGGAAGGTAACGGCGATCCATGCAGTCATGCTGGCCACATGATGTTGGAGGTGTCTACGGACAACGCCGGCTCTTCGGCTTACAAATGGAGATGAGCACCACCCTCCAGAGTTGGACACAACTAGACTTAGTGTCAGGGGAAACCTTTACCTTTATGTATGCATGCATGTATGTATGTATGTATTATTTACTATATTTGTATACTGCCTTTCTCAGCCCATGGGCGACTCAAGGTGGTTTACAGAGGAAAAATTCAATGCCCAGCAACAACATAAAACATTTAAAAACATTTAAAACATTAACCTATATATATATATATATATATATATATATATACACACACACACACACACAAACACACACACATATACACACATCTCATGCAATGCTTGAAAGCCTTCAGATAGGATGTTTCCATGGGGATTGACCCTCTCAATCAGTCCTGTCCACATGGTTGTGAACTTCAAAGAACTATTCAGTAGTACTAAATGATACTCTTTTAAGACCTTCCTAATTAGAGGGATCCAGCTACTTATTAATAGAAGTCAGTTTGAAAAGAAGCTTCCAGGTGACTATTTAAACTGTGGTTTAGTGCACAGCTGCTCAGAGCGGTGGTCCCTGGATCTATAAACCTGTCACTGATCTACTGGCTGCTGGTCCCTGGAAAGTTTCCAAGGAAGAAAATCATTTAGTTGCCAATCTCTGACATTTGGTGAAAAAATATTCCCTGTCCTCCACATCTGAGAAGCACAGGTTTAGTGCATGGGGAAAGCACTGCTGCTTCTCCCTTTCCAATAACACATACATCGTTTGAAATAAAGCTTAAGCACTGCAATTGCAACCTAAGTATTGCTTTCTGGATTCTGGGCACTCTGCATTCTTCTGCCACTTGTTTGTGTGCACTGAACATAATGACAGTTGCTTCTGGGTGCAAGGGCTGTCTCTTAAATTACCATCTCATCTTTAAAATCAAAGCAGCCTTATTATGTCAGGTCAGTGATTAGTACTGTTCTGTCTCCTGCCTTGATGCTGGAATGTGAATAATTGAGCAAACAAACAAACAACAAAAAAACCCTCAAGTTAAGTTGCCAGTTTATATCCACAAGCAGTTCTTAAATAGGACAAGCACGTAGTCCTTTTTTCTCTTGTAACCCCCACCCAAAGGGAAAAATTCTAGGATGGTAGTGAAGGCAGAGTTGCAAAGGGATGTATTGTGGACTCTGAGGAAACTGTAAGTAAGAGCTCGGCAGAGTTCATATTTCTTGCACATCCCAGAGAGACGTCTTCAGTTTCATTCTAAAGCTGGCTATATATCCTGTCCTGACTTGGTTGACAGGAAATTAAAAATCTCATTATTATCTGTCCACACATACACCTCCAGAAATCTGATTTCTGTATTTGTAACATTTATATCATGAGTTTCCTTCAGTTAGCTCAAGGCAACATAAACTTACAGAATATGACATCCCAGTGTACCCTGTATAAGATTATCAGACTTTACATACCCTCCTGACTAATGAACAACATAAGAATGCTGTTTTTAATAGACTTAAGGTAAAGCTTTCTCATGTCATTAAGTCTAGTTGTGTCCGACTCTGGGGTGTGGTGCTCATCTCCATTTCTAAGCCAAAGAGCCAGTGTTGTCCATAGACACCTCCAAGGTCATGTGTCCAGCATGACTGCATGGAGCACTGTTACCTTCCCACAGAAGTGGTACCTATTGATCTACTCACATTTGGATGTTTTCGAACTGATAGGTCGGCAGAATCTGGGTCTAATAGCAGGAGCTTAACCTACTCCCTGGATTCGAACCACCAACCTTTTGGCCAGCAAGTTCAGCAGTGCAGTGGTTTAACCCACTGCACCACCAGGGGGTCCTTAATACAGTTAAAGCCCACCTATACCATATGCTGTTGTTTGCACTGGCCATCCAAGTATCTATAGGAAATTCAGATGCAGCCCTTTTGCTCTGAGGTCTCTCGTTCTGAAACTAAGCATGTTGTGACCATGCTTTGTAAGAGACTCACTGAATCAACACATGTTACATTCTCGCAGATGAAACTACCATTGTATTAAAACTACAGAATGCGTTTTATAATGTAAGTGTATCTGAATAGTTGAAAGAGGATTGCCGGCATGGCTAGTGTTTTGCCAAATTAGTTCTTCTGAATCTGGATATGATAAGCACACTAGTGATTGATGAATAAAGAAAGAAATTTACAATAAAGCAGATAAAGATGTAAACAGAAAGCAAGAGAAACAATACCCATTTTCCACTGTAGGAACCCCGGGAAAAGCCACAAGAAAGACCCTAATTTGGCCAATTCACGCAGGGCAGTAACCAGTCTATGCCTGCGTCAAGATTCCAATAAGCAAGCCAAACTGCCTCTCTCTTATGCACCAGCCAGCCCTCCTGGGTAATTTCCCACCAGGTGCCTCTAATGAACCAAAGCTGAGCTGAATTCTTGCTTTAAAGCCAGTCTGATAACATCCTTCAGGCTCTCTCTGTCCTTGCTCTAGTATTTATAGCAATGGGATTCAACCAAAACATTCAGGCACCATATCACTGACTCCTCAATATTCAAAAGTCTTCAGTGAGAATGTTTCCCCTACATCTAGTGATTTGAGTATTGGACTCCACCTCTGGAGAAGAGGCTTGAGCCCCCTCCCCCATGCAAACCTGTTTGTGACCCGAGAAATGTCGCTTTCAGCCTCAGAAAACCATGTGATAGGTTCACTTTAGGGTTGCCAAAATTCAGAAATGATGGTTGCTCTCCTGTAACCATGTTTCTTTGAATGGTCATCTGTGAAATTCACACATATGGTAGTTGCTGCACAGGTGCATCAACTACCATAGGCGAGATTTCACAGAGACCATGCGGGAGAAAGGATTTGAAGGCACACAACAACAACTGTTGAAAGAGAGGTAGAAAAAAATTACTCCCTTTCGTTGAATTGCTTGGATTATGGAGGAACTTAGCATGATTTGTTTGTTATTTGGTTGTCTAGTGTTCTGTTTTATGAGAGTATTTATATTACATTTTTGAAAGGTAGCTTATGGGTAGAGAGGGGCAGTTGTGGTTTGACCATTGAAATACAGCAGGGGTCCCCAAACTAAGACCCGGGGGCCGGATACGGCCCTCCAAGGTCATTTAACCAGCTTTTCTTTTATCCATTACATGTAGCTTGCCCATGTTATTGTGATTGTGTTTATTGTAATCTTATATTGCTATGTTGTCATATGTTTTATGTAATTGCGTTATTATTGTTCATTATTTGCGTTTTCGGTTTTATTTTATGTAATTGTTGTTTTGGGCTTGGCCTCATGTAAGCCACACCGAGTCCCCATCGGGGAGATGGTAGCGGGGTACAAATAAAGATTATTATTATTATTATTATTATTATTATTATTATTATTATTATTATTGTTTACCTGGCCCTTGCTCAGGGTCAACCTAAGTCTGAAATGATTTGAAAGCACACAACAACAATAACATCAGCCAAAAGCAGGCCCACACTTCCCATTGAAATACTAATAAGTTTATATTTGTTAATATTGTTCTTCATTTTAATTATTGTATTGTTTATAAGATATGTGCAATGTGCATAGGAATTCATTCATTTTTTTCAAATTATAATCTGGCCCTCCAACAGTTTGAGGGACTGTGACCTGGCCCTCTGTTTAAAAAGTTTGTGGACCCCTGGAGTACAGCTTTGGAGACCAGGGTTCAAATCCATCCATGGGCAAAGAAACCCAGTGGGTAACATAGAGCAAGTCAAGTTTTCTCAGTGTTAGAGCCTTCCAAACAAATTTTACCAATAATACCCCATGGTTGGGGCTCCATAAGTTGGAAAATATTTGAAGGCACAACAACAGCTTGCTGTTGGTTATAGTGAGACGACTGTCATCCTTCACTTCATGTTTTTTGGTGCCAGGTTGTCAAGACACCTATGACCAGTGAAAAGACTTTTGAGTCCCTCGTCGATTTTGCCAAAGCGTTAGGGAAGAATCCAGTAGCATGTAAGGTAAGTACATTTTTAATTAAAGGCGTGTGATCTAAGTAGATACAGAGAGCTTCAAATTCCATCAAGTAATATTTATCTAATTTACAATCCAAAGTCAGAGTTTTCATTTGAATTAGGAGAAAGTTAACTTGTGATCATCCGGATGTTGTTGAATTTTAACTCCAAGCATCTGCTAACATTGACTGTGCTGGCCAGGACTGATCGGAGTTGAAGTCCAAAAACACCTAGAGGTTCATAAGCTGTCCATCCCTGATTTCAATAAGGAATACCATTTACAGCTGTCAGAAACTTACTTTGTAATGAAGTGTGCTCTACACATTTTTTGTGCAGAGCTTGGAAAAGTTTTTTTAAAGGAGTTGTTTATGCGATTTGTTACAAGAGTCAAATAAGAAGCTTGTTGCCATCAGTATTTCAACCCAACATTTCAGAAAACCATATCAAAATTCTCCCTCAGATGTTTTAAGATTCTCCCAGGCACTAACAAGCCACAACAAACAACTGCCAGGCCATCAAATGCTCATCAAGGTGGTCAGTTGAAACATTCACACCTAGCTCCAGCAGACAAGAGTTCTTTGTTCCACCCTGGTCATTCCACAGATATATAAACCCTTTTTCCTAGTTCCAACAGACCTTACTACCTCTGAGGATGCTTGCCATAGATGCAGGTGAAACATCAGGAGAGAATGCCTCTAGAACATGGCCATGTTGTTGTTCATTCGTTCAGTCGTCTCTGACTCTTCGTGACCTCATGGACCAGCCCACGCCAGAGCTCCCTGTTGGCCGTCACCACCCCCAGCTCCTTCAAGGTCAGTCCAGTCACTTCAAGGATGCCATTCATCCATCTTGCTCTTGGTCGGCCCCTCTTCCTTTTGGAACATGGCCATATAGCCCGAAAAAACCTACAACAACCCAGTGATTCTGGCCATGAAAGCCTTCGACAATACATAGTAACAACATTGCTAGGCATGATGTTATTTTTGCACGAGAAAGGCTCTTATTATTGTTGCCTTTCAAAAAAAAATTCAATCGCATTGGTACATTTAATATGCTACTTCAGGCTCTAGTTACTTAGAATGTGGGAAGTATATTTCAATAGGCCCTCCACTTATGTAAGGGTTATGGGCACTGGACCGTCACAAAAAGAGGAAAAATGTGAATATTTTTTTTAACCTAAGAGAATGCTTCTCTGGAAATCTCTACATCCTCCGGTATGATTCTATGGCCAGAAGATGACCAGAGAATTGTGCTGGAGGGACCTACAAATGCCTAGACCATTGCTCCCTATAGGAATTACTAGGTCCTCCAGCAAGATTCTGTGGTTCATAGATCATAGAGTCATGCAGGAGGACCTAGAGAGGTCTAGATTGAAGATATGATATCAATCAAAATCACGAATAATCAAATCTGCCAATGTGGACCGACAACTGTAATTAATTGTGGACCTTTCAGAGCTAAGAGGGAAGCTGTAACTGAAACCAGAATGGGTATTCTGGGAAAGCCTAAATTTACCCATTTCTTTTGCTTGCCCCATGGTACGTTTCTTGGCTTAGAGGAAGAAGGCTCCCCTGAGACTTCATATATCCTCTGTTGGAATGTGAACCAAGCAAGGTTGCACAAAATGTGGTCTTGAGGCTGTATAACTCACCCACCCGCCCCCCAAAAAGACGCCCTGTTTCTATAATTGTCAGGTTCTCAGGATTTCCCTTTTTTAGGAGCAAGGTATTTAATCATATTGTAAGAATTCTCTATTTTAAGCCCATTTCTTTCTGTTCACAGGACACTCCTGGGTTTGTTGTGAACAGGCTCCTTGTACCTTACCTTATGGAAGCTGTTCGGCTTTTTGAAAGAGGTAAAGATAAACCATAAACCTTGTTTTGCCCATTTTATACACGAGATACTATTTTACTACAACATTGTATATAATAGGATGAATATCCATGGAATTTTTGTCTCTACAGGGGGTTCTGGAACCAACCCCCAATGGGTATTTCCTTATCTCAATAGTTGCTGCCCCTCCTCACCCAGCTCCACCTCTGCACCTTGATCTGGCAGTCTTGGGACCAAAGGACCTTGCAGCCAATGCTGTTGCTTCTTCCTCTCCTGTCAGATTGGTCACTCACACAGCGGCCACCTTGCCCAGCTCCACCTCCTTGCACAAGAACTTGGCTGAAAGACAAGGGGAAGCTGTGCCCCTCCATCAGACCAAGTTCTTGGGCTGCCAGGTCGAGGCCAGAAAGTGGAGTCGGATGAGGCAAAGTGGCAACAGCACTGTCTGCAAGTTGCCTCCCCCCCCCCCCCCCCCCCCCCCCGCATCCCTCGGGGTGGTGCCAGTGAAAACCGAGCCAGAGTGGGTTTACATGTGCAATTCTAATGCACCATCACATTGCTTATCATTCACTGGTCCTTCAAAACCTCCCTCTTGGTTTGAATGAGAACAATTGGGAATGAATGAGCTCCACCTCCTTGTGTGAGGCTGGCGAAAGGACATGGTGCAGTACATTCAATATTATATCTTTTTTTCTTTTTTACATATTCTGACAGGGCGTGTTTTTCTTCTTTGGCTGCTTGTTTCATCTGCCACCAGACCTTCTAGGCAGATATAGCTAGTCAACATAACTGTGGGGATGCAGTGAATTATGAATGGTCATGAGTTTTTTGCTTTTCTGTCCAAATTGTCCAGTTCTGCCTGCATCCAGTTTATGATGCCAGCAGTATGTTTTATGACAAATATAGCCCAGATGTTTATGGCCTTTATGGTATTGCCTCCATTGAGCTTGCTTTTGAGAATTTTTCTGACCCTTTGAGTATGTTGTTGTTGTTTGTATTATCGAAGGCTTTCATGGCCGGAATCACTGGGTTGTTGTAGGTTTTTCCGGGCTATATGGCCATGTTCTAGAGGCATTTTCTCCTGACGTTTCGCCTGCATCTATGGCAAGCATCCTCAGAGGTAGTGAGGAGGTACCCTCTGAGGATGTATTTTTTTTTATTTCTCGTGTCAGGGCAGCCAGTCAATTATATTACATTTCTAACAGAACAAAGCAAACAAACAGAGAAAATACAAAATGTGTGAGTTTGGTAGCAACCTCTGAGGATGCTTGCCATAGATGCAGGCGAAACGTCAGGAGCAAATGCCTCTAGAACATGGCCATATAGCCCGGAAAAACCTACAACGACCCAGTTGTTGTTGTTGTCATAGAACAAAGTACAGAAGAAGAAGCACTTCCTGTCCATATACTTCTTATACTCGTGTAGACAAAAATGAGGAAATCGTAATGTTTAAATCTCAGCACAAGTTAACCCTTGAAATAAATTTTGACTTCAAAGGAAGCACATTTGCTTTGTGAAGAGTTAAAGAAAGTTACACTGTGTAAGTGTTCAAACTTAAGCCCCCTTTCATGCTTTTAAGAATGTTGTTTCAAACATTTTATTTGGAAGTCAGCTTTCCCTTATAGATGAAAGGCCTCCATTATCAAGATCTCTGTAAATATATTTTAAATATTAAAAGCTCCCTTTGTAGATCATAAAAATTGTCTTCGGCTTGTGAAACAAAATGAGCGATACTTCTTGCTCATCCATCAGCAAATATCACTAATTATTCCTCAAAGGCAGAATGAAAACAAATTAGTGATATCTTCTTTTTAAAGTACATGAGTGGCATTTCACAAACAATGCTAATTTCATCTAAGACATCATATAAAATGCGTCAGCTAAATGTTTTATTTTGGGATGCATAAAATATGTTAACTATTAAATTTACATGGGTGAATAACTAGATATGACTTTTTCTGCTCAAATATATATTCAATTTAAATTTGAATAGCCGTGTCCTGATTTCCATTCTTGTTGTGGCTTTAAAAACTATAGATTTTGAAAAATATATTAAAACTAATTGTAGTTGTTCTTTCACATTTTCTGGAGGTTAGAAGCACAGGACTCTTGTAAAAGTGGGAAAACTAGAATTTTTTAAAAATCTGCATTTTATTGTAGAGAACACCTCTAGAACTATCTAGGTTCTCTGGAGACCTATAAATGCCTAAAGAAATGTTCTTTCTAGCAATCTCTAGTGCAAGTCTATAGTTAACCTGTCCTGGAATTTGACCATAGAATTCTGTTGGAGGATCTAGAGCAATGGTTCCCAACCTGTGGTCCGTGGACAACCAGTAATCCGCAAGAAATATAGTCCACAGCCTCACCATTACTACACTGTTGCAACAAGAGCAACTGGTCTTACAAAACCCTCTTTATAGTGCCGAAGCTTATTCAATATGGTCTTCTATGGGCAAGCAGCTATTGACTACTGGATGGCATGTGTTCTGTATCTGAAACTAGAACTGATGTGGTCTATCCAATGCAGTTTTCTGAATCAGCACCCCAAATAACCAAACTGAATCTAGCGTTGACCAAAAACTGATTTGTAACCCTTTTGGTACTAATGTTGGAGAGTGGTCCCTGGTCAAGTGGTCCTTGGTCAAAAAAAGATTGGGAACCACTGATCTAGAGATAACATATTAATAAAATACATGAATCAACAAATCTAAAAAGTGAAATCTGCAAATGTTGAGGCTCAGTTGTAATAACTAAAGATATTAGTGAAATAGGTAGAATTCTAGTGGAGTTCTCTGCATTTGATGTCAATAATTACTATTTCATTTTCATTCTTTCACCAGAACCCTCTCTCTCCCACATGAAGCTGTAGATAAATGTCCACCAGCTCAATAGATATCTTGAGCAATGATTAATCATTTTGCCCCAAGGAAATGGGAAATTATTGTTTCAATTTGATGTTTGATGTTTTGTCTTATGTCTGTTATAACAGGCTGTGCTTTTTATTTAATTTTAGTTTGTTAAGTTATAATTCGTATTTATATGTTGAGTTGTATAAATTTTGTTAGTATGGATGTATTGTTGTATTCGGGCATTGAATGTTTGCTTTTTATGTTTGGAATCCGCCCTGAGTCCCTTTGGGGAGATAGAGAGGAATATAAATAAAGTTTTATTATTGTTATTCTTGTAGGCGAAATGTTTATAAAATTACTACTGTCAGACCTAGATGTCTGCTGAGGAATGTATGCATTAACCATAGAAACATGTTCATAGCAAAAGAGTCAGGAATATGATCTAAAATTGGTGTATTATTATTACTATTAACTTTATTTATTCCCTACGTTTGGGGACTCAAGGCTGTTCACAATTGCATAACACAATCCAATAAATTTACAAGTGGCAAGAGAAAAATTAAATTTTTGTATCATGGATATAAGTTAAAATACAGTTAAAGTATAATAAATATAGTTAAAATTACATTTTAAACTCACAATTCTCACAGAATCCCACCCACAACCTCCCCAGCAGCATGGCCCTCATCTGCCTCCAAATGCCTCTTGTCACAGAAACATCTTGACCATCCTGGTCTCTTGGGAGCAGCTGCCAAAAAGACTCTCTCCCATTTTCCCACCAAGCACACTTGATCGAGTGGTGGGACAGAGAGAAGGCCCTCCCCAGTTGATCATAGGTGTCTGCCAGGTTCATCGAAAGAGATACAGTCTTTCAGATAACCAGAACTGGAGCTTTGTAGCTCCAAACCAGCACTTTGAATTCTGTCGGGAAACGTGTTGGCAGCCAGTGAAGCCATTGCAATAGACGAGGCCACCCCCAGTTAGCAGTTTGCCTGCTCCTCTTTGAACCATCTGAAGTTTCTGAGCACTTTTCAAAGGCAGCCTCACGTAGAGTGCATTACAGTAGACCAACTGAGATGTAACCAAGTCATGTACCATCATGGCCAGATCATCTGACGTCTTCAGGAATAGGCGCAGTTGGCGCACTAGCTTTAACTGTGCAAAAGCACTCCTGGTCATTCGGCCTCCATGTTCAGGGCCGAATCCAGGAGTACTCCCAAACTGTGAACCTGCATTTTCAGGAGGAGTTGTAACCCCGTCTGCCACAGGTCAAACTCGAAACAATTTTTGTGTGTGTGTCAGGAGCGACTTGAGAAACTGCAAGTCACTTCTGGTGTGAGAGAATTGGCTGTCTGCAAGGACATTGCCTAGGGGATGCCCAGATGTTTTACCATCCTGTGGGAGGCTTCTCTTATGTCCCCGCATGAGAAGCTGGAGCTGACAAAACGGGGGCTCACCCCGCTCCCCGAATTCAAACCGCCAACTTTCAGTCAGCAGTCCTGCTGGTACAAGGGTTTAAGTTGTTGCCCCACCGGGGGCTCCACATATTGAACTGTTGGCAACAGATAAGCACTGAATGTATATCATGTATCTGGTCCCTATTTGAAACCACTGTGAGTCATAGTTCTTAGTTCTGGTTTCCTGTATCAACAGTAAATCTGTAGACAACTGACTTTTGAAAACTACAGTTTTCTTGAGAAGTGCTAATACTTCTGCACCAAGTTCATGCTATGAGAAAGAGAACAAATGGTGATCTTTCTTTATCTGATTGTTAATCTTTATCTCCTTTCTTAGGAGATGCAACCAAGGAAGATATTGATATAGCAATGAAGTTGGGGACAGGCTATCCCATGGGCCCATTTGAACTCTTGGACTATGTTGGCTTGGATACCACCAAATATATTATAGATGGTATGTATATTTTTTGGACTGGGTTCACATATTATATGTGCTTTTCCTTACATCCCAAGAAAGGCCCATATTTGATGTAAACCATTGTTCTCCCGAGTTATTTAAACATTTATATTTTTATCATGCATTTTTGATAGTTTGCAGTATTGGGCTGTGTGGAACCACCCTTAGTTGTTGATGAAGCACTTTGGAAAGTACGAGGGTTATCTGGAAAGTAAGTTTATGAGGCATGTAGCTCTTGCGGGGAATTTTCGCAGAAGTTGGTATTACTGCCGTGTAGCGGAAAACCAGCAGAAGTGAACGAGCAATGCCAGTCATCAGTAGCTCAATGGCATTGTGGTGAGAGTTAGAGGTGAGCGTCCTCATTCCATTTCCCTCCAAGTGCGAAGTTTGCGCTGTACAAGGGGTATCTCTCTATGAGTTCTCCCTCACAAATAGTTCTGCCCCTTTATTTCACTTTGAGTTTTTAAATCATTTTATGTACATGCTCATTGTTATTATGTTTGGTTTACTGTTCCTTTTATGTTCTGTGTATATTGTTTTATATGCTTTGATGTTTTATAATTTAATGTTATGTTGTTTATTTTATTGCAGTTTGTATCTTATTGTAATGTAATTTGTTGTTCGTGCTTGGCCTCATGTAAGCCGCTCCGAGTCCCCGTTGGGGGAGATGATGGCGGGGTATAAATAAAGATTATTATTATTATTATTATTATTATTATTATTATTATCTGGAAAGTAAGATTACAAGATTTTTTAAAAATGCAAAGAATTGATATATTTTAATAAAACTTATATGAATTGTAGCATAGGTATCACATTAGTTTTCCACATAAGCACCATTCAGTTCAATAAATTTTGTCATCCGTGGGATGAGTTTTTATCATAGAAGTCTCCCGCCGCCTTTTTCAGCCACATCATCAGTCACAATGGATGGCCAACCACTTCTGTCTTCATTGTGAATTTCCGTCCTTCCACAATTGAAATTCCGTATCCATTTTGCCACATGCTGTCGTGACTTTACATCTTTTCCATAAACTGAAACGATCTCATAATGAATCGCAGCGGCGTTCATGCCCTTAGCATTTAGGTAGCGTATTACAACGCGTATTACAACTTCAAGAAATAAAGCCTGACTGCTCACTGGAGGGAAGGATAGTAGAGGCCAAGATGAAGTACTTTGGCCACATCATGAGAAGAAAGGAAATCTTAGAGAAGAGTATGATGCTGGGGAAAATGGAAGGAAAAAGGAAGAGGGGCCAACCAAGGGCAAGGTGGATGGATGGTATCCTTGAAGTGACTGGATTGACCTTGAAGGAGCTGGGGGTGGTGACGACCGACAGGGAGCTCTGGCGTGGGCTGGTCCATGAGGTCATGAAGAGACGGAAACGACTGAACGAATAAACAACAACATTACAACACAAACTTCGCACTCAGAGGGAAACGGAATGAGGACTCTCATCTCTAACCACCACAACGCCAGTTGATGAGCTACTGACGACTGGCACCGCTCGTGCGCTTCTGCTATCTTCCCACTACACGGCAGTGATACCAACTTCTCCTGCAAAAATTCCCCACGAGAGCTATGTGCCTTGTAACCTTACTTTCTGGATAACCCTCGTATATGGAAACATCTGTGATAGGTTACCAAATTGAAATATGTGTTTGCTTAATATAATATAATATAATATAATATAATATAATATAATATAATATAATATAATATAATATTATAATAATATAATATAATATAATATAATATAATATAATATAATATAATATAATATAATGAACGCCACTGTTCCCTTTTTCCTTTCTCTTGCCAGGGTGGCAGGCATTGGAGCCAAACAACCCCCTCTTTGCTCAAAGCCCGCTGCTGAATAAACTGGTAGAGGAGAAGAAACTGGGAAAGAAGACTGGTGAAGGATTTTATAAACACAAATAAACATTGCCTTGTGCTATATTTGTTTTGCCTGGATAAGGATAACCCCTGTGCCACTTGGTATTTCCATACTGTGCCTGGAATTCTGTTTAATCTGGACTGTAAGAAACAGTAATGACTGACTACAGTGTCTTTACACAAATTGTTTTTCTTGGCTAATGATTTTTTTCCTTGATCTGTAATCTTAGAACTTTATACACTCTGGTGCCTTTCTTCTTAAACTGCCTTTGGTTCAGGCTCAAACTCCAAACAAGGTTTGGATTCATGGGTTTGCATCAACCTGTTAAACCATGAGACATTTTAAGTCAAATATATGAATGTCAGGATCACCTGGAAATGGAATGTATTGCTTTTAATTTGCATTGATTTTGATCCAATAGGTGGCAGCATGACACTTACGAATTTGTAGCTGGAATAGAGTTTTGTATGGCGACCATAGGAATTTTTTTCTGTGCCAAATAGTGTACACTGGTGTAAATAAATGAAAATATATTCTACGGTTTCCCATGCTTAATTTTTTTGTGATTTTGTTAGCAGCCATCAAGTCAGCTTTCTCTTAGGCTAGCCTTTTGAATGAGAGACCTCCAAGAAACTATCCCCATCTGTCTTGCTCAAGTCCTGCAAGCTCAGAAACTGATTGAATTCTGTCCACATAATAATAATAATAATAATAATAATAATAATAATAATAATAATAATTTTATTTAATACCCCGCCACCATCTCCCCAATGGGGACTCGGGGCGGCTTACATGAGGCCAAGCCCAAAAGCATATTACAATAAAATGAAACCAAAACACAATAACAATGCAGTAAAATACAAAGAACATATAGATACAAAAAAACGATAAAACAAAATTATACACAGTAAAATAACAATAAGCAGGCCGCATGTGCAAGATAAAAAACTAAAACATTAAAAATACTAAAATCAGGATGAGACAGAGATGAAGCAGATTGTTTGTGAGGAGAAACCTCATAAAGGAACGGGGTCGTAAAAATAGACCTTCATACAGGTGGGGAAATATACTCGGGACCAAAAAAAAAACCTTGCAATTTTGTCTTCCTCTTTTCCTATCAGCTCCCACCTTACTAAGCATTATCATCTCTTGTATTGAGTCCTGTCATCTCATAATATGCATGTCGTATTACAGCTTCAGTTTGGTTCTAGGTAGAGTTCAGGCTTGATTTGCTGTAGGGCCCATTTGTCTTTTCGGCAGCCCATGATATCTGTAGAATTCAAATGAAATGGTTCTCTTCCTACCAGTGTCTTCACTCTCCTGCATATATAGAAACCAAAAACATTGTATTATGAAAGTTCCTAATTTTATTATCTACTGATATCTCTTGATACTTGAGCATCTTTTGTAGCTCCTTCACAGCCACCCTTCCAAGTCAGTCTTCTGCTGAATTCTTGACTTTGGTTTCCATTGTGAATTATGGCTGATCCAAGGTATTGTAAGTCTTTCAATTTTTTAGTCTCTTCATTGTGTATGTTGAGTTGTTTACATCATCCATGGTTATTGTTTTTGTTTCTTTAATGTTCAGCTTTTGCACTTCCTTTCTTGACTATCCCTGATAATTGTTCAAATAATATGGTATCATCTGCATATTTTGTTGGCTTTTTGTCCTGCAAATTTCAGGTCTCTTTCCTTTGAGACTTTCCTTGAGACTATCACGTGTTCTGCATATAAATAAATAGATCCAATAATGAAATGCAGCCTTTTCCAACCTCCTGGCCAATTGGAAACCATGGGGATTGCTTTTGTATCTGCATTTCTGTTTTACCTATGAAACCAGTATCAACATTATATGAAAGCAGAAAGCAGGGGAGTAGAAAACAAATAGCAGTAAAATAACAGGAAGTTTTATATTTAAGATAGTTACGTTTTGGAAACTGAAATCTGAATAGATATTTGCTGGTGGTGTAACAGATTAAACTGCTGAAGTTGCTGACCGAAAGGTTGGTGGTTGAATCCGGGGAGTGGCGTAAGCTCCCGCTGTTGAATCCAGCTTCTGCCAACCTGGCAGTTCGAAAACATGGAAATGTGAGATCAATAGGTAACACTTCTGTGGGAAAGTAACGGCGCTCCATACAGTCATGCTGGGCATATGACCTTAGAGGTGTCTACGGACAATGCCAGTTCTCTGACCTAGAAATGGATATGAGCAGTTGGACTAGACTTAATGTCAAGGGGAAACCTTTACTTCGCTTTTTATTTGCTGTTGTATGCTTTCAAGTATTTTCTGAACTACAGTGATCCTAAAATGAACCTATCATGGGTTTTTTTAGGGCTAAGAAAGTATGGGTTTTCATAGTAAAGTGGGAATTCAAACTCTAGCCACTACACATCCATAGCAGAAAACAATTATGCTATGGAAATGAAAATATAGATAGAAGTATGCTAGTGCTAGTTTTGATTAATTCCAGTTTTCATATATGTTAAAACCTTGTAACTACTTTTCACTCTTGTGTTCAGCAAAACTAATTTTCTAGCCAGTTTACCAAGTTGTTCAAATAAGACCAGAGTCAATTTCTTTTTTTAACAAATATTCTATTTCCAAATTTTGGTGTGGTAGAATTTTTTTTAAAGGGCACAGTTTCAATGTGGTGAGAATAAATGGATTTATTTTCTTTTCAATAAAAGATTCTTGAAATAATACAAATGTCTTTTGCCAACCATATGCGGTATTGTTCTTAATTTGTAATCGCAAGTGATAAGATTATCTTTAATATGCAGCTTAAACAAGATGTAAGAAAATAAACTGTACCTTGCATAATCTAACTTTAAACCACAATATACCCTGACTCAAAAATAAGATTCTTATGCTTAACTATTTAGGTAGAATCTGTGGCTGCTTTCTCGACATGGATAAATGTGGTAATTTCGTGCAATTAGAGGTTATATAATTTAAACAAATTAGACATTTAGATCTACAGATTGTTTGAACTCCACTTCAGAAAGCTAATAGTCAGGGATTAGGGGAGTTGTGGTCCATGTGTATTATGCAATCTTTACATTTTATTACTGCCTTTGGTATTCGATCTTCTCTTAAAAGAAGCAATGCCCAGGAACATACGTACCTTGTTAGCTGAAGTATAGGCCAAGGTTTCCCCTTGACATTAAATCTAGTCGTGTCCAACTCTGGGGGTTGATGCTTATAGAATCATAGAATCATAGAATCAAAGAGTTGGAAGAGACCTCATGGGCCATCCAGTCCAACCCCATTCTGCCAAGAAGCAGGAATATTGCATTCAAATCACACCTGACAAATGGCCATCCAGCCTCTGCTTAAAAGCTTCCAAAGAAGGAGCCTCCACCACACTCCGGGGCAGAGAGTTCCACTGCTGAACGGCTCTCACAGTCAGGAAGTTCTTCCTAATGTTCAGATGGAATCTCCTCTCTTGTAGTTTGAAGCCATTGTTCCGCGTCGTAGTCTCCAAGGAAGCAGAAAACAAGCTTGCTCCCTCCTCCCTGTGGCTTCCTCTCACATATTTATACATGGCTATAATCTCCTCTCAGCCTTCTCTTCTTCAGGCTAAACATGCCCAGCTCCTTAAGCCGCTCCTCATAGGGCTTGTTCTCCAGACCCTTGATCATTTTAGTCGCCCTCCTCTGGACACATTCCAGCTTGTCAATATATCTCCACTTCTAAGCCAAAGAGCGGGCGTTTTCCATAGACACCTCCTAAGTAATGTGGCTGGCATGACTGCATGGAATGCCTTTACCTTCCTGCCGAAGCAGTACCTATTGGACTATTTATATTTGCATGTTTTCGAGCTGCTAGGTTGACAGAAGCTGAGGCTAACAGCAGGAGCTCACCCTGCTCCCCAGATTCAAACTGCTGACCTTTCGGTCAGCAAGTTCAGCAGTTTAACCTGCTGCCCACCAGGAGGCCCAGCTAAACTATATCTGTACTATATTTGGCAGCTGTGGTACATGCTGAGAATCAGATACAAAGATAACAGCAAGCACAACAAGCTGGAATTTCTAACAAGCTGGAATTTCTAACAAGCTGGAATTTCTAACTCAGATTCGAACTATCAACCTTTCGGTCAGCAAGTTCAGCAGCTCAGCAGTTTAACCCGCTGCACCACTAGGGCGCTCTGGGATTATCATTAACAGGTATGAAATTCAGGATGGACCTGGCCTATGTAGTTGCTGTATTTTGCATTTTACTTGGCTTAAGTTAACAAATAGCATTGTGTAATAGAGGCAGCGAAGCTCAGAGTCTGAAAATACAACACAAAGTTTTGCATTTACAAACAGTTTGAAAAGAGGTCTGAAAACAAAGCATTAGCTCTTTCTTGAGCGCAATGCCTAGTTCTGCCTGCAAACTGTAATTTCCCTTCATTGTCCTTTTAGTATCCAAGGCAAAGCAGCTACAGAAAAGGGTTCTCCAAAGTATGGATAGTGAGGAATCCTGTTTTTTGCTCATGCTGGCTAAAGAAAATTTGGATATGGTTTCAAGCTAGAAATGAGAGGTAGCAAAAACTACAGGGAACTGTCAAATTATCAAGTTGTAAGCCCTTTTGCCTGAAGGGTAAGATAGAAATACTATCAATAAATAATTATCTATCCCCAGAGTATTCTCAGGGAGCCAGCAGAGATGGATTTTGCAAATACTCTCCCATGATATGACCAGTGTCCGTTTTGCCTTTGATCCTGCCCAACGTAATTGCAACTAAAATATTCAAACATAGACAATGTCATTCTAAAAACATCTGAGCACTAGGTCCTACTATGGAAAAGTACACATTTATCTGCAGTGCAGAATCTTTCTAGAGGGCAAACAGTTTCTCTGCAGTGCCAGTTGAAGCAAAATTGAGAGTTGCAGGTTTCTAGTTAGTTCAAAGATCTTATTAGAGCAGATACTGGTGTGTGTTGGTTTCTGCCAAAGGGGTGCTGGATCAATCTTGTCAAATGTCGATGCCAAATTTACAAAAGTAGCAAAGGAATATTGTTGCACACATACATTTAATGCCATCGCTTCAAGTGTCTTAAAAGCTAATGCTCTTTCTTCCAGAAGTCCTTAATTTGTTCTGGTATCCACTCAAGGAGGCTTAACTTGGGAGAAAGCCTAGGAGTGCAAAATTCATAGTCGCAGAACACCAGTGCTGTAACCCACAGAGATTTCTAATAAGGGGAAAAATAAGGAATGCTAGGAGGATATGTACAAACACTCAAAGAGAAGGAAAGTTGCAGAGAGTTTTTTTTTAAAAAAAAGGAAAATAGTTTTCAGACTGCAAGATATGTTAACCATTCATTAAAAACTGGATTCTGTTTACTCATCTTCATATTAAATGATAACCTTAATATTGACTAACTGATGTTCCATTGATTCATTCAAACTTTGAAAATAAACTTTCACTGAACTATGTCACCAGGATACAAAAACAAGTCACAAAAAAGCAGACGCCCCATTCACTACTTTGCTTTCTTAAGCTTCACGTTGGAGTCAACAACTCATTTTAAAAGTCAAAAACTATGTTGTAGTTTTATTACAAAGCTTTTATTTAAAAAACAAAAACAAAAAAAATGCTCAGCACATTAACTCAAACTGGAATGACAAAATATATATCAGTTGACAATTTTTGGCAAAGGCTGTGCCTTAACTATTTTTAAAAAATGGGTACATCAATGCTCATTTCAACAACTGGCATAAAATCCCACTAAACAGGCTAACAAAAACAGATACAAAACAGATACAGACCATTTGAAGTAATAATAATTCAAGTGCTGGACTTCTTTTTTTTTTACAAGGAAATTCAGGATAGGTAAGTAGGAGAACTCGCTGCAGTCAGGTCTGATGAAATATGTTGCCATTACGCATATAGAGTAAATGGGAGAGATCAACATGACTAGTGACCAGACTGATTGTTATGTTTAATATAAACTAGCACACAGATACAATGAAGGGGTTTTTAACCATTACGAATTGTTAACAAAAAAAGCCACAGTTCTCCAAACAATTTGCTCCTTGGTTGTAGTACGTTTTTCAGGTCCTATGGCCATGTTCCAGAAGCATTCTCTCCTGACGTTTCACCTAAATCTATGGCAGGCATCCTCAGAGGTTGTGAGGTCTGTTGGAAACTAGGAACATGGGGTTTAAATATCTGTGGAATAATGTCCAGGGTGGGAGAAAGAACTCTTGTCTGTTGGAGGTAGGTGTGAATATTTCAGTTCATCACCTTGATTAGGATTTAATGGCCTTGCAGTTTCAAGGTGTGGGTTCTTACTGCCTGGGGGAATCCTTTGTTGAGAGGTGATTAGTTACTAGTATAAAAAAAAACTCTAAAATCGTAACAGTAAATAAAGAACAACACTAAAAAACATGGGAACTCCAGACAAGAAACAATCGGGTACAGCTAATCACTTCTCAAAGGATTCCCCCAGGCAGTAAGAAGCCACACCTTGAAACTGCTAGGCCATTCAATGCTAATCAAGGTGGCCAATTGAAACATTCGCATCTACCTCCAACAGACAAGAGTTCTTTCTCCCACCCACCCTAGACAAACCCCATTTTCCTAGTTACCAACAGACCTCTGAGGATGTCTGCCATAAATGCAGGCAAAACGTCAGGAGAGAATGCTTCTGGAATATGGCCATACAGCCCGAAAAACTGTATTACAACCCAGTAATTCCGGCCACGAAAGCCTTCGACAATACAATTTGTTCCTCTCCTGCAAGGGGGAAAAATGGAATTTCCTTTAATTAAAAGAAAGATTGTAGGTTTTGGTGCTTCTTTAAAAGCTCAAGGACAATAAAAATATACACCAAGGGGGAGAAAATGAAAATATAAAAGCATTCAAGTTTTCTTTTTAGGAGCTAAAAATCCGAAGTTGATCCTTTTGCACCATTAAATAATAAACTGGATTGTGCCTTTCTCAACCAAGATTTGTTTCTTCGGTGTGAAGGGCCAAGGTGGGAGTTGCTGCTGGTTTACATCATTCCATCGGCTGAAGCAAAACAAACGCAGCCCGGTTATTCTGTTGCTGACTCAGCACTGACAAGTTATGAGATAACAAATGTCGGAGGTGTAAGGCGGAGTGAAAAAGCTACTCTGCTGACTGGGGAAGGTCTGAAATGCTCTTCTTGCTCTCTTCTTTTATTGTGTCAGATTTGGGACGCCGCCATGATAGCGAAGGGGCCTGGCAGTGATTGTCTTTATGGTTCAGTGTCTTTGTAGCAGTGACATCAGGGCAAGTGTCGATATCCTAAACATACTCCTTAGCGGTGGCCTGTGCGGATGAAGGACATGCCTGGAGATTTAACAAGCTTCCATTTCGAGGAGGGGCCCTGATGTCGCTGCCTTTCCTTTGCACGTTGAGAAAGCATTTCTCTTCCCACCTGCCGGGAAAAGTAATAATAAAATTAAACAAAATGCACCAAAACAAATTTCAATTATATATATATATATATATATATATATATATATATATATATATATATGCACCAAAACACATTAATCATTTGTTTAATTATACTACCACTATGCATTTATGCAATGTTCAAAAAGTGTTGTAGTAAAGCCTGTGAGTAACGTTACAAACAATAGTATGGGTGCCAGAAGGGGGGAAAGGCTTACTCGGGAGCAGGAATCTGATGATGAGCAGCAGAGAAAGAGGATCTGGGACATATTTACAGCACCTATAGATGAGTTGTTTGAGGGATTCTCTGGGGATGATGGGTCAATGAGTAAAGGAGAAGAAGGAGACACCATGGATTGGACTAAGATAAGAGAAGTGCAAGCTATTTGTGAGGAGCCAACAATTAGTGGTACCTTTAAGGGGTTCTCTGGGGGTGAAGACTGGCAATCGGGATCCAACTGAGTCTTGGGGGGACCTAAGTCTTGACAGGAGATGGAGGACTTGGAGGGAAAGACAAGAGAATTCACGTGAAGAGCTAGGAGCAGCTGCAGAGGATAATGATGGGGTGGTGGTCAGTTCATCTGATGATATTTGTGAATAAAAGTGGGTTCAGAGGTGATGGGTCCTTGCAGAAGGCAAGGTGTTGATGAACGTTCGTGTGTTGGGTGCTGTGTATTGGAAAAGATTATTGTAGACTTGCTGCTGCCTGTTTCGTGTTCGGCGTTGGTTTAGAATTTGCATTTTGGATCTCCTGATCGTGTGTTATTGACCTGGATTGGCTTCTCGTGAATGTGGACTTCTCCCTTCCTGGAGCTGGACCAGTTTGGCTAAAGACGCTGCTTCTGCGGACACTGGAGCAGCGCTGTTTTGGATTTCTCCCGCTTCAACCCTGGACTTCCTGCGTCCCCTCCTTTTTCTTAACGATTTGTGTACTGTGCCTTTTTGTTTTGCCTCAGCGTGCTTGGTTTGATTCGCTTCTTTTGCATCCAGATAATCTGGATTATATTTCTGTTAACCTTTTTGGACCAGGTCTGGTTTGTTTCTTGAGTTTTGACCAGTGGTACTGCATTTAAGTACCTCTGCGTCCTTCTTCTTTTGTTTTAATGAACTTTGTTTTGAAGCTATTTTTGAGTCTGGCCCTTTAAGGTGTCTGATTCTGACAAAAAGTGTTAGAAGGGCTTCGAAGTACATTATGTCAATAAACCTTGCAGCAGACATGGGCAAACTTTTTAACTTGGGGGGCCACATGGCAGGCTGGAGTGGGGTGGACAGGCCAGAAGGGAGGGAGTTCTCCCCAAGCCCCCTCCCTGCCCTTTCCTCCCCTTCCTTTTCTCTTTTGGAGGCAGAAAGTTAAGGAAAGACAGGAAACATTTGGATCCCAAAAGGATTAGCCTTGGTCAGGATGAAATGGTGGACGGGAGAGAAAAGGTGTATCCATTAGACCCCATATTGCCTACTCCTGATATAGAATCCTAGAGCTGGAAGAGACATCCAAGGGCCATCCAGACCCTAGCTGTGAGAAGAGAAGGTAAAGAGGGAGCATGAGAATCGTGTTTCAAGATTTAAAAAGGGTGCCCCATTGAGGTTGTACTGATCCATTGGATCCATTGGATAATGACCAAGTAGCAACAGTAAGAACTGACCATGGAACAACAGACTGGTTCAAGATTGGGAAAGGCGTATGGCAAGGTTGTATACTCTAACCCAACCTATTCAACTTGTGTGCAGAACACATCATGTGATGTGCGGGGCTTGACAAATGCAAGGCTGTGGTTAAAATTGCTGGAAGAAACATTAAAAACCTTGATATGCAGGAAATAAAGCGCGACTGCTCATTGGAGGGAAGGATGAAGTACTTTGGCCACATCATGAGAAGACAGGAAAGCTTAGAGAAGACAATGATGCTGGGGAAAATGGAAGGAAAAAGGAAGATGGGCCAACCAAGGGCAAGATGGATGGTATCCTTGAAGTGACTGGCTTGACTCTGAAGGAGCTGGGGGTAGTGACGGCCGACAGGGAGCTCTGGCATGGGCTGGTCCTTGAGGTCACGAAGAGTCGGAAGCGACTGAACGAATAAACAACAACAACCCATTGAGGAGGAGGGAGGGGGAAAACTGACTTTCTGCTGCTCTAGAGACCAGGGCACAAGGGCACAATTGGTTCAAATGGAAGAAAAGAGATTCAACTAAAAGGATTAGGAAGAACTTCCTGAGAGTAAGAGTTGTTGGAGAGTGGCATAGGCTGCCTCAGAGTGTGGCAGTCTCTTTCTCTGGAGGCTTTTCCATAGAGGCTCTCTATCGTGAATGTTTTGATTGTGCCTTCTTCCACAGCAGGGGGTTGGATTGGATGGCCTTAGGGGATCTCTTCCATCTCTTAAGATTTTATATCAGGAGTAGGCAATACAGGGTCTAATGGATAGACTTTTTTCTCTCTTGTCCACCATCCCATCCTAACCAAGGCAAACCCTTTTGGGATCCAAACGTTTCCTGTCTTTCCTTCACTTTCTGCCTTTGAAAGAAAAAAGGAAAGGGAGGAAAGGGCAGGGAGAAGGCTTGGGGAGAACCCCCACTCCACTCCGGCCCACCATGCAGTCCCCAAGTTAGAAAGTTTGCCCATACCTGCTCTATTGACAAAGTGGTTTGTGCATATAAGTGCACCATGTTGCTTCAAGAGTACAGGTGCTACAGCAGTGTTTCTTAACTTGGGTGTTGGGACCCCTAGAGGGGGTCATGAGTGGGTGTCAGAGGGGTTGCCAAAGACCATCAGAAAACAGTATTTTCTGTTGGTCATGGGGTTTCTGTGTGGGAAGTTTGGCCCAATTCTATCCTTGGTGGCGTTCAGAATGTTCTTTGATTGTAGGTGAACTATAAATCCCAGCTATTACAACTCCCAAATGTCGAGGTCTGTTTTCCCCAAACTCCACCAGTGTTTACATTTGGGCATATTGAGTGTTCATGCCAAGTTTGATCCAGATCCAGCATGGCTTGAGTCCATCATTGCTCTCTGGATGTAGGTGAATTGCAACTCCCAAACTCAAGGTCAATGCCCACCAAACCGAGTATATTCTGTTGGTCATGGGAGTTCATTGTGCCAGGTTTGGTTCAATTCCATCGTCAGTGGAGTTCAGAATGCTCTTTGATTGTAGATTAACTATAAATTCCAGCAACTACAACTCCCAAATGACAAAATCAATCTCCCACCCAATCTCACCAGTATTCAAATTTGGGCATATTGGGTATTTGTGCCAAATTTGGTCCAGTGAATGAAAATATATCCTGCATATCAGATATTTACATTACGATTAATAACAGTATCAAAATTACAGTTATGAAGGAGCAATGAAAATAATGTAATGGTTGGGGGTCACCACAACATGAGGAACTCTATTAGAGGGTCGCGGCATTAGGAAGGTTGAAAAACACTGTGCTACAGAAACACAAAAACCTAATCTTATTGCCAGTGTAAGGTTTAATTTTACAGTCATCTTCCCTTTTATTATATCTACTCAAATGACAAGAAAATTTACACCAGTTGCTCTTCGGGGATTCAGATTTTATTGTACAGTTCATTTCAGTCAAACTATTTAGACATTTTTAAAAGCAACGTCAAGTGTTCTCTGGAAAAGCATTGAAGGTGGTCTGCAACTGACTAACTTAGTGCCTATTTCCTCATAAAACTACACTGACCCTCAGCCTTTTTATTTTAAAAAAACAGACTCCTACGTTTCCTGCCTTGAAAAAAAATTACTCCAGTAGAAATAGGGATCAAAGAGTCATGGAGGGTTTTACTTTTCCAAAGATCATGAAAAAGAAGCCAAGTGAAAAAGCAAAGAGAGATTGAGAGAGAGAGAGAACCAGCACCCTGCCGATTTATATTTACTTTGGACCTTTTCATCCCAGATTTTCAAAGGTTTGGTCCAGGTTGCTCTTCCTGAGAAGGTTTTCCTCTCAGTCCTACATTAAAACATTCTGTTTCCTGTTGAGGAATGGCCTTGAGGCGCCAGCCCAGTAGTTCACAGCAGTCTGATACAAGCACAGCAATTCAGAACTACTCCCCATTACCAGCCAGGAATGCAACTTGGGCTGAAGGAAATGAAATGTCCTTCTGTTGAAATGGGTCCCATCTCGCTACCCCCTCCCTCCATACACACCCTTTTTTTTTTTGAAACCAGTAGCTTGCCTTTGAAGTGAGAAGGTTAAAATAACATTCATGGCCTTTCTCGAGCCCTCCCTTCTCAAAAGTGGACTTTTAAAATTAGTATTAGCATTAGTTTCCTTTGGTTTGGAGCTCACACTTTTGTAATCACCTTCATTCCCCTGACTTAGTTTCCTGCCCTGGACAAGGATTAGGGAGAAGAAAAAGTCCCCTCAACTTCTGAGGATGCCTGCTATAGATGTTGGTGAAATGTCAGGAGAGAATGCTTCTGGAATGTGGCCATACGGCCCGGAAAACTCACAGAAACCCCAGCTCTAAGATCTGCTGGGAGGGGGGCCTTCTCTCACTCCTGCCTCCATCACAAGCAGAGTTGGTGGGGACGAGAAAAGAGGGTCTTCTCGTGGTGGCCCCCCCACTCAGGAACTCTCTCCCCAGAGAGAAGAGATTAGGTAAAGGTAAAGGTTTTCCCCTGACATGAAGTCCAGTCGTGTCCGACTCTGGGGTGTGGTGCTCATCTCCATTTTTAAGCCAAAGAGCTGGCATTGTCCGTAGACACCTCCAAGGTCAAGTGCCCGGTATGACTGCATGGAGAGCAGTTACCTTCCCGCTGGAGCGGTACCTATTGATCTCACATTTGCATGTTTTCGAACGGCTAAGTTGGCAGAAGTTAGGGCTGACAGCGGAAGCTCACGCCGCTCCCAGTATTAGAACCTGTGACCTTTTGGTCAACAAGCTCAACAGCTCAGTGCTTTAACCCACTGTGCCACCAGGGGATTTGATTAGCACCTATTTATTTATTTATTTGCCATACTTCTACCCCGCCCT